TGCTAGGTTTTGGTTTGACTGACAGCGGGAGTTAGGCGAAGATCCATTTCCGTGTCCTCGGAATCTCGCAATGCAGGGCTTTCTTCCGGCCTGCGTTCTGGCTGGCGCAAGGGCTGGTTCGAAATGAAATGTTCGAAATTAAAGGTCGTCACCTCCGAAAAGACCTCGGACTTCTCCTGATAGTTATTCCATGCATTCCTTCCTCTTTCTGTCGCGGCTGACGGCCAGATCTAAATTCGCGAACGATAGTCAGTGGCTTTTTTTTTGGGGGGGGATTTTTATTAACAAATTTTTATTATCGATTTTCTGATGTTTCTGATCCCTTCTTGGCCGAGTTCCATTACATCATTGGCTCGTGCTAATGGAAATGTGGTTATGTATAGCAATACTTCCTCGTGCTGCCCAGAAAAGGGAATATGATCTATTCCAATTGATTTTCCATAGCGTGGCGCCTCAACCGCTGGACCTTGCCTGACTTCAGCCAGCTGAGCCACAGACGTATTCATTATGATGGAGCAGGAGATGTGCAGTTGAAGCGGCAAAAATACTGAATTTTGCCTCGATCCACACTGTCGGGCGCTCTTGGGCCCCTCGAGGTACACCAAAGAGGTCATATGCGAGCGGCCAACGCTGCATTAGTAGACGGAAGTGCCGTCTATCCTCAAGGTTTGTTAGCTTAGCCTTAAGCAGCATAACGGACCCAAGGAGTCTATCCTGATACTTTGTATTCAGGAGCGTCGGAGTTGTGTTCGTGAACCATTCCTCGGCTAGTAAACCGACCCGCCCTTTTCTTCTCGCCCTTGGCTCCATGTACAACCCACCCCTCGGGAGTAGAAAAGGAGTTCCTGACGCAGAGATCAAGTGAGCAGTAGTTCGCGCCAGTGGGGATAACAAGGTCATTCACAGGAAGGTTCCGCCGACGACTAGGAGGCCACGTTCATCATTGATCGTATTCGATCCGTTTTTGCTCACGAGACTTCATTACGGAGCAAAGGATTTCAAAAATTGAAGTCTGATCCGTATTGTCACCAGAGGATTTTTGTATCGGAAAAAAGGTCACTTACGACGAAGAACGTTTGACGGATTAGGCGGACCACACTCGCCCTCTCATTCGTACGTTTTAGTGCGTGTCTTGTATGACTGGGGGCCCCTCATACAGGCCTTGACAGGCGCCCACGAAGCGTGAATGATCCTCGAGCCGCCATCCAGTCCGAGAGAGCCGTTGCCGCCAACGTCCCCCGGCACCCGATCGCGTCCATGAAAATCACAGCACTTTAATTTCCTCTCCCCTCCAGCACAGAACGCTGCTGCGCCCCTTGGCCCCGGATAATTCAGCCCCGCCCTTCGACAAATTCGTCAAACGAATTCGCATATATAGGGGACCATTCTTTACATCCACGACAATCTCAATAATTAGTGAAAGAGGGTGAACATGACGTACTGACAAACCTTTTCATTGCTCTTCCTTTCAGTTCTCGAGAAAGCTAACCAACAACTTTGGTCTTTCGTAGAAGTCCAGACTCGCAAACAGTAGAACTCGATCGTGAGTTCCTCGACACTGTCACAGTTCACGGCCGCGAGTATCAGAAATATTCCATCGACCACCGGTTATATTTTGGACCAGTCGACGATGTAAGACAATCTGAGCAGAATGGGTTCTCAAAAGAGGCCTTTGATCACTGACAGCATGACTAGGAAGAAGCTCAGCGCCTCGATGAAGAACAGCGAGTCTTTCAGCGTATTTTCGATGACCGTCTAATATTTCCACCAATTCGACGACCACGAAGGGTCCTCGACTGTGGCCACGGCTCCGCATCATGGGCCGTAGAGGTCGCAGAACAGTATCCAGATTGTCATGTGAGTATCCTTTCTGACACAGTCTCTAGTTGTCACCTAACATACGTTGGTGACAAAAGGTTATTGGTGTAGACATTGCCCCGCACATGAGCCCTGACGATGTGCCTGAAAACCTATGGCTTCAAGTGAGTGCAACCTTTCTTCAACATCACCGCTGGTAGGGTCACTGCCTTGCCTATGCTATCGAGCCTGATTTTCCATCCCTTATGACGGGTCAACATGTCGTGAATACATGCCGGGCTGACCCTGGAGCGTGTGACCCCTGGAAGATAGTTGCTGACGAGACTGTGTGTAGGTGGACGACCTGAACCGAAACTTCACGTTCCCCGCGAACCACTTCGATCTTGTCCAGTCTCGACTTCTTGCGACCGGTATCCACCATTCACGATGGCCAACCTACATCCGCGACATTGTGAGGTACGCACAACTCCAAGAATGAGCGACGACAGAAATGCCGACAGTTCCAAATCATCACCTCCATCTGAAATGGCCGTGGTACTGATGACTGCACTCTCTTACAGGGTGCTGAAACCAGGCGGATGGGTTCAAATGATCGAAATATACTTCAATGTGCAGTCGGATAACGGTTCAATCACTGATGAGCATGCATTGAGACGATGGAGCACACAATACATGCGCTCACAAGAAGACCGAAAGGATCTTCGAATTGGAACCAGACTGCGAAACATGTTGACGAATGCGGGATTGAAGGAAGTCGACACGAAGATGATTCCACTTCCATTGTCTGCATGGGGAAATGGTAAGCCACTTCTTCCCCGTTGATTTTCTCGGAAGTAGCAGTCTTGACACAATGCAGATCAGAGGACCCGCGATATCGGCCAGGCCAACAGCGGTAATATTCAAAAGCTTCTTCGATCCTTGGCACTGTACCCTCTCACGCAACGATTGCACATGTCGATTGAGAACTTCGACACATTGGTGGAACAGGCACAACAAGAGGCCAAAGATCCATCTCTCAAAGCATATTTTCCCTTGTAAGTGGAACTACTCGAGACGCGTCTTTGGGAAATCACTGACTCAGCAGATACGTTTGCATCGGCCGAAAGGCATGAAGGAGGTTGAGTATAATACAACAGCGAGGGTCTGTCACGGACCACTGCACATATCATTGCGGTCTTGGGATGCCCATTGGCACCATGCCGATCACTTGGCGCTTCGACTCGTTTTGCATTTGCATTTGCATTCTGCATTTTCACAAGCATATACATATTGGATTAGCAAAAGACGGTAATTGAAGCAAGTGTTCTTTATTGCATACGTGCTTTTGGTGGGGCAGTCGTGCCATATTGCTTTTTCCAGGGTGATGCTGCGGGATGTGTCTCTCCGGGTCACTTGTAGGGTAAAAGAGAAACCCTAAATACCGAGCCATGACCGAGTGACATGGTCGCACAGAAACAACCTCCACAGAAGATTGAGTCGGGCAATGATCCCGGCATAGCTGCAGCCCATCAATTTGAGTGTTCCTTCAGGATTCCTGAGAAGATAGGTGCTTGAGGCTCATAAGGGTCTTTGGGCAGATCGTCACGGATGTGGTTCCGTGCGGATCGGGAGGATCACCAGGAAGATCTGAGGGCTATTTTGTGGCAGATGTGGCGTCGGATGAGATAGAGCCCTGATGACTTTCCTTGTGAAGTAATGACCAGGGTTATTACTAGCATGCCGAGGGCAGCTGAGTAGCACATGAGTGGGAGGGAGGCGGCAAGCAACTTGAGGGAGCTATGATCCAATCCGACCATATCACATCACCATCACGCTGAGATCTCGGATCGACCATTGCGAGAAAGAGGAGCAAGAGGAAAAGGATAGCAAAGTTGGGATGCGGGAAAGAAAAGAGAAGAGAAGAGAAGAGAAAAGCAGGAGGGGGTCGACCCAGACTGACGGGAAGCAGGGAAGGAGAGACCGGGGGAATTGAGAAACGACCCTTTCGCACCTTCCTCCAGATTCGTGCACACCTCAACCTTAACTCAACATCGGGCACTTTCCCTGAGGTTTCCTCACTCATCACTGTTATCAGTACTCCACACTATATCACTGTCATTGCTGCCCAACGATTACAGGGGGCAGTACGATACACACCCCGGCACAAGTTTCCATGGTGCGCTCAAGGATTGTTTACCCTGCGCTTGGTCCCAGGCACGCCCTTCCCCCCCCCCGACCATTCCGATTTGATCTACAGTCCTCAGCATTTGTTTCACTGGTACCTCCTCAAGAACAGCAGCAGGAAAGGATGACTTTCGCATATGGCCTATGCCCTCTCAGCCTCACAGGTATGGGGGCCGAGCCGTGGGGGAAAGCCCATCACGGTCGAGCCCAAGCCGAGCGTTCTGGGGGCAAAGCACCCACCGAACACACCGTTGGAGTCTCCTTACTCTGGCCAGACATCCCCGTTCCAGGGTGCCGGGTCCCAGTACCCTATTAGAGTTCAGAATGGAATGCACCCCAACCTAGCGAGATCAAGCATCGACCGCTAGATCCTGGAGATACGAAATGCAACTTAGGTGGCTTGGGATCGAGAGTTAATTACCTTGTCTCTCTTACTACTTTCATCCCCTGGACTTCCCCGAGATACCGAAATAGTTCCAGGCACAGGCCAGACTTGCCCACCTTCCAAGCTACCGGTCCAAGCTCCCGTGCTATGGGTCTGCCCCTTCAGGGGCTCCGGCAGAGACTAACGGGGAGGCTACAGAGACACTAGGTAACAGTGCCCGATGTATCACACAAAAGAAAGATTTCGACCCAATCTCATGCAAATCGAAGCTTGCGATTCGCCAAAATCTAGTGCTTTGCAGGGGTTGTTTAGTAGGAAATGCAGATGTGCATTTCCCGGAGTCTTGATGTGGAGCAGAACCGTTATAGGTAGAGTTGAATAGAGCAATCAAAATCAAGAAGCGGAAAAAGGCCTCCTATTCCAGCCATACAGCATGCAGTAAAACCACCTTGTGCGATGTCAAGTATGCACGCCAAAACTGTCAACCACGCCTCGCCCGATCTAGATGTCTCGACACCTAAATACTAAGGCATGAATACTTACCTAATCGGGCAAGGCGGCAAGCGGGGAGAAAAAAAGTTGGCGCGCGGATTTTCATTTGAGCTGCTACCAACAACTTTGAGCACCCGCCACAATGCCTTCCACATACAATAAGGAAAAGGCATGGGATACGGAGGATATCGATAAGTGGAAGGTAAATTCAAATGTTCTGCAAAACAAGAAAATCCGGCAAGTTAACCATGCTTTTGCACCCAGATCGACGAGTTCAAGCCCGAGGACAATGTCGCCGGAAACTTCGCCGAAGAGTCCTCCTTTGTCATCCTCTTTCCCAAATACAGAGAGAGCTACTTGAAGGAAGCATGGCCGACGATCACAAAGGCCCTGAAGAAGCAGGGCATCGCCTGCACACTCGATTTGGTGGAGGGAAGCATGGCCGTGAAGACGACCCGCAAGACCTACGACCCAGCCTCGATCCTGAAAGCGCGCGACCTGATCAAGCTACTCTCGCGTAGCGTCCCCGTCACACAAGCCATCAAGATCCTCCAAGACGACATGGCCTGCGACATCATCAAGATCCGCAACCAAGTGCAGAACAAAGAGCGATTCGTCAAGCGCCGCCAGCGAATCCTCGGCCCCAACGGCTCAACCCTCAAAGCCCTCGAACTCCTCACCGCCACCTACATCATGGTCCAGGGTAATACCGTCTCCGTGATGGGCCCGTTCAAGGGCCTCAAGGAAATCCGCCGCATCATCGACGACTGCATGGCGAACATTCACCCCATCTACCACATCAAGGAGCTAATGATCAAGCGCGAATTGGCCAAGGACCCGACCCTAGCCAACGAGTCTTGGGACCGATTCCTGCCCAACTTCAAGAAGCGCACCCTCTCCAAGCGCCGCGTTCCCTTCCAGGTTACCGACAAGTCGAAGAAGGTGTACACGCCTTTCCCGCCCGCGCCCGAGAAGTCCAAGGTCGATCTCCAGATCGAGTCTGGCGAGTACTTCCTTTCCAAGGAAGCCAAGGATCGCGCGCAGAAGGAGGAGGTTGTCGAGCGCCAACGTCTGAAGCGCGACGAGAAGATGCGCGAGCGCGAGAAGGATTTTATTGCGCCCGAGGAGACTCTTCCTGCCGATGTCGAGGGCAAGAAGAAGGAGAAGAAGGACAAAAAGGAGAAGAAAGAGAAGAAGGAGAAGAAGGAGAAGCGCAAGCGCGATTCAGAGGATGCAGACGTGGACGATGCTGCCGAGCGCAAGGAGAAGAAGAAGAAGAAGAAGAGCAAGTCCAAGGAGGCTGCTTCCGACGAGGAATAAACTGGCTACGTCTTTCGGTCTGGTTCTATTTTGGCGCTTCTGGCAGAGCATGGGTCTGGCGTTTAAATCTTTCTCTCCTTTGCAGTGCTCTCTCTGTGTGTTTCTCATGGGTCTATATGTAAAATGATCAATACCAAACTGTCCTTTACTTTCTATAACAAGTTTCTCAAGCGGTCAAACGGGAATGGATACGCTCAACAGAAGGGTAAAAAAATAGTTAAAGCCTGTAAGGCACTAGCAAAGATAGAAAATAACCCTTCATCTCGACAAAATCACTACTAATAGCTTGGTCTCCGCAAGCTGCTGTTACCTCGGTTAAGCCCTCAGTGTGGTTCATGATAAAACGGGCCATTGGATTCTTCTCACCAGGGATCTTTCTCACAAGATATGCCCTAAGCCGCATTGTAACGAGTGAACCGCTCGGTAGGCGAAGGGCGCTCCTCGAGGTGGCTGACTGTAGGCTTTTGCTTATCAACCATACCCATTTCATGAGCAAAAGTGTCATGAGGCTTCCATTTGGCACTAGTCATGGGAGTAGATTCCTCAAGCATCTTGTCGACTTGCTCCAGAGACAACCCCTTGGTCTCGGGAACAACGAAAAAGGCAAACATGAAGCACAAAACGAGAGCGCTGCCCCAGACAAAGAAGACCTTGACTGCCAGATTACCCTTATCCTCGTCCACAATGTATGGGGTGATGACGGCAATGACACAGTTCCAGAGCCAGTTCGAGGCCGTTGCAAGAGCGACGCCCTTGGCGCGAATGGGGAGTGGATAGATCTCGCCGATGACGACCCACGCAGCAGGACCCCAGGTGGTGGCAAAGGCAGCGATGTAGAAGCAAGTGAATACGATCAAGCAGATATCGCTGTATGAGAGGTAGTAGGTATGTCAGTCCATAGCTAATCATGGTTGTATCTCCATACTTGACTTACGCAGCGTGTTGTCCCTTGGCGGCAACGCCAACAATGGCGACAATAAACTCGCAGGCACACATGACAGCGGCGCCATAGATAAGGAGCTTACGGCGACCAAATTTCTCCATCATGTAAAACGAGGCAGGAGTGGTTGCAACGTTAACAACGCCTGTGATGGTCGAGATCAAGAAAGGATTCTTGATGCCCACCTGCAGGAAGAAAGTGGTGCCATAGTAGACTTGAAATTGGTTAGTTGCAGAGACATCTCACTAGAATTCAAGCTCACAGATGAAGTTGATGCCAGTCCACTGTTGGAACATTTGCAAGCAAGTTCCCATAATCACTCGGTGGAGATTTCCACGGCGAGACATGCCACCTTTGAAGCAGTCGGCCCAGGAAGTGCTCGCAATTTGCTTTTCATACTCGAAGTTGGCTTTAATCTCTGCAAGCTCTGCCTGGATAGCCGGGTTTGTTCCGGGCTGACCACGAACTCGCTCCAGGGAACGGAGGGCATCTTCCATCCGACCACATTTGACGTAGTAGCGAGGGGACTCCGGCAGGAAGAAAAGCCCAACGGCGAGAATCGAGGCCCAGATGAATTGCATACCAATGGGGATACGATATGAGGACCGGTCGGGACGATTCTTGCAGCCTTGATCGACGCCAGATGCCACGAGTAATCCGATCGTGATCGCCCATTGGTAAACGGAAACCAACAGTCCGCGGACTTTCCGAGGACTGATCTCAGAGACGTAAAGGATGACAGTAGCGGAGACACCCCCAACACCCAAGCCAGCGACGCATCGACCTGCCACAAGACCAGCGATGTTGACGGTACCGACTTGAACAGCCACCCCAATGGCGAAGATCAGACACGAGAGCATGATAGTCAGGCGACGACCAAGACGCTCGGCGGCGGCGCCACCGATCAGTGCACCGATAAAGGTACCAGCAGATAGAATAGAGGTGATGAGAGACTTGCGAGAAGTGGCAATGATGTAGCCGTCCGGGTCCTTAGTCTTGGGCACCGCATGGCCAAAGTGCTTCTTGACATAGGGCATGCCCAGAACACCCGAGATGTAGCCAGAATCATAACCATAGAGGATACCTATGAAATGAGTGAGATTCAACTCTCAAAAAAGTGAGAAATATGTCAATAAAAACCTCCAAAGCTAGCGAAGCCACAGATTAGATAGGCATGCCAGGTGACTGGGGCCTCGATCAGGTTGAGATCAGCCGTGCCGACAAGCTGGCTGGCCATGTTGAGGTAGTGCGATGGCGTTACAAAGAACAAGGGATTGGTATGAGATAATCAAGGGTGTTAGTTATTTGACGAGACCGAGCATGTGGTCGAGGGGAAGAAATAGGAAGAAGAGAAGATGATGGAGATGGAGATGGAGATGGAGAAGGAGAAGGAGAAGGAGGAGAAGGAGGAGAAGGAGAGGGAAACAAGGCCAAATGTGGAAGGTGCCGTCAGCAGAAACCAACAAGGCAACGGTGACGGTGACACACAAAAACGGGAATATCACTAGGAGATACTATGAAAACAGAATTATCGTGAGACCTGGAATATGGTAATCGTAAAGGTAATAGTTGGCATTGATAAAGTCATGATGTGTAATACTCAGCACCATCTTCTATCCTATCATTTTTCTCAGGTCTTGATCATGATCTATTGTTACATTATGGAGAAGTACATTTGAGATTACTTCATCTTGATAGTGTGACTGTATTTCCTGGCTTACTCGTAAGATAGCACTTCAAGTTTTCGGGTATGTTATCCACTGATAGGGATTTAAGCATTTGGAAACATGGATCTTCAACCGTGGGATGCCGGGAATCGCTTGATGTCAAGGTACCAGAGCCACAACCTCTTTATATTACACAGAAATCTGAGTAGTATCAAAGCCTTTTGAGTGATAAAATAAGTTCCTCAGAGCTCATGGGCGCCATGAATCCTTCTAGAATCCTCGATTGCCACGCCGGTCTGCCGTAGAAATCCCACCTGGCCGAGTTAGCAAGTCGCACAGGATTCGGACCCGGAATGAAACCAAAAGGGGTACAGTCACTCCTCGGGCAAGGATATCGTATGCTGCTAGCCGTCCAGCGGGGAAATAGTCTCATACTAGTACTAGTAGTTACTACTTGGATAAGAAGTTTCACGAAGCGACCTCAAGGATGTTACTCGTACCTTATAGCCTCCAGGGCTGATAGCATGCCTAGAATATTTGATCAATTTTTCAATTTATTCTTATCAATTAAAAGACCCGAGCCTATAACAAAATACATTCAGATAATATATCTGGTACATAAATGCCAGTGATATACAGGGGTACCTGCGCTAGCCCTAAACAGAGTCGTTTACTCGGAACGAAACAGTGGCCAAAACTTCGTCAAGAATCCCAGCAGGATTAGACGGCAACTCTCGTACCCTCCAAGAAATATAACCGTCAGGTCGAATCAAAACAGCCCCAGTGTGAGAGACACCAAAAGCATCCTGAAAGTCCTGTTGCCGGACAAGCTCTACATCGTGACCGAATCGAAGAGCTCGAAGCGAGATAGACGACTCCTTGGCCACGCTCGCAACAACACCAGACCAGGCACCACTCTCTGAAATCAGAGTCCACCCTTCATGGTCCAGTAAATCCAGGAGCGGAACTCGCTCCCCGTCCTTGGCAACCCAAATGTGAGGAGAAAGGGTACCAGGCTGGCCATTCCACTCATCTGGTTTCATCGCCCTCGGCAAACCCCCATCCGTCCCAACAAAGCCACCAGAAAGATAAATCTGACCAAACTCCATAGCATCATCGTCAATTTTTTCACCAGCAGGCATAGCCGCATCAAGATGCACTTTATAATCCGCCCGCACGAAGATCTGATCATGTCGTAGCAACGCGACAGGCCGTCTCTCGGCCTCATACGTGTCCAATATCCCCTCCGATGATTTGCCAGATAGAACGGCGGAAAGCTTCCAGGCAAGATTATGCACATCGTGGATACCCGTGTTCGCACCATAGCCACCCCGATTCGGCGGAAGTGTGTGCGCAGCGTCGCCAGCGAGAAAGATCCTCCCGCATCGGAAAGTGTCGGCGACAAGGGCTGTCAATTCCCAACTACCGGTGGTGATGATTTCAACGGGAAAGTCGGATCGACCGATGGCTTGGTAGATTGCTTTTCGAAGAGCGTTCTCGTTGCGCTGGATGTCGTCTTTGAACATTAGTGCCCATCGACCATCGCTGTAGGAGGCGAGGAAGGCTTTTAGATCGGTCTGTTCAATATCGAATTGGACGATGCCCTTCGTCCATTTCTCTATTGGGGCGCGGAATAGGACGCTGTGCAGGTTTTGCATGAATCCTCTGCCGTGCCGTGGGATTTGGAGCAATTCGCGGATCGTGCTCCGGTTGCCGTCGGCGGCGATTATATAGGAGCCTTTTATTTGGCGTTGGTCTCCTTGGGCATCTTGGACGGTAACGGTGACTCCTTTGGTGCTCTGATCGATTGATATGACCTTTTGTTGCCGGCGGATATCGGCGCCTCGCTTGCGTGCGAGTGCTTCGAGGATGGGCTCTAGTTTATCCTGCGGGATTGCCGAGCCTTGTTCCACTGAGTATTCCTTTTTGGGACCATCGGGCTTTGGAAGTGTCTTCAAGTTTTTTTGCTTATTGGTTTCGGAGGTTGTCTCAGTATCAGACCAGGATGAGTTGTTGCCCCATTTGCCAGTTACGCTTTCGACGTGGGCGCGCTGAAGAACAAAGTCTTCGGGTGCTGGGTCTTTGTTCTCGATTCCAAGAGAGCGATATATCTCCATAGTCCGGGCTGTAAATCCAATAGCTCGTGGGTGTTTAGAAATTCCTCCGTGTTTCTCGAGAACGATGGTTGGTACTTTGTGCGAGGCTAAGCACAAAGCTGCTGAAAGCCCAACGAGACTGGCACCTACCACGATGACAGGTTGTTGAGATATGGACATTTTCAAGTAAAGGGCTAGCTCGGTATTGTTCTCAGGATAGTAGGAAATATATTCAATTGTCTGATTCTGATTAAGTAGAAATTGAGCCGGCTTATAAACAATTTGACAAGAGGTTGTTCGGCGCCGAGATGAGCTCCATTTTTTGTTCGGCGCCGAGACCTGCCATTCGTCGATTTTGGGTCCGGCGGCATTTGGTGACTACTAGTACTAATGTATCATCATCGGATATGTTTAATTTATAACAGTCATGATTTCGGATATATCCAGATTGGATTTTGGGGAATAAATGCAAATAAAATTTAACGCCAGTCGTGTATGGGAGGCAGGTAAACTACTAGTATATACAGGGTACGAAGACGTGAACCAGATCATATCACTCGCATGCTGCAGTCTTGATCTAGACAGCGTTCGACAAACCGCTCTCCGTTGCAGAGGCTCCATTGCCTCTCAAGCGTCGCAGCTTGTCAACTAGAAACTTCTCTTGTTCCTCCTGGCTCTTCTTGAGGTCGACCCAGAAGAACAACACTCCAAAACTAACCAAGCTGAGCGCGAAGAGGAAATAAAACGGAGTCGAGTTATTGTGGCTGGGGCTCGCGTCAATAATGGCACTAGAAACAATAGGACCGATGAAGGAAGATGTTTTGCCGACGATGCTGAACAGGCTGAAGAAGAGGAACTCGTGGCCTCGAGGGGTGACTTCCGAAATCATGATTTGAGAATAGCTGTACCAGGGACAAACGAAAAAGCCATAGTACGCTTGGTAAACCTTTGTTGCCAGCATATTAGCGTTGTTTTTCCGGTCTTTGGTGATTCTTAACTTACCCAGACTTCCCATGTGTTGTGGAATCCGAATTTGTTTGTCCAGATGCCGATCATACCCCAGCCGTCTAGCAGGATGATCGCAACCGCAATAGTATTGAACATGGTTTTAGTGCCTAATCTGTAGCGCTTCTGCACGAACCAAAATGTATAAATACCAGCCGCCTGTGTTGGTTGACATTAGTGTTAGATCTTTTCTTCTGGGATATTCAAGTCCAGGCATACCTGGGCAGCAATTCCAACAATCAGGAGATATGTTAATTGTAGGGTGTTATAGGCCACGATACTATTTTGCAGCGTCGAAATGACTGTGACAGTAGTGTTTAAAGAATCTCCGAGCAAGAAATAGCCTATCATAGTACGGTGTTAGTCTTAAACCCATGACTGGGGAACTAGGGGACTGGGGGAGTATTACCAACGAGGTAGATGAAGCTCTGCTTCAATTGCCAGATCTGCTTCATCGCATGCCAGACTTGCCAAATTCCCGCAATCAGGACACCCCGGGGACCAGGATCTTGACCGGGGCGGCGCTTCTCAAGGAAGAACCAAGGCAAAGAAACAAGCAACCACACACCCGAGACGAATGCAATGAGCACACTGAGCCCCCAGTTATTTTCCTCTTGGCCGGCATTGACATCCAAGCCAAACATGATGCCGACGATGATGGCCAGAATGACCACCTCTCCGCAGGACTGCACATAGAAAGCAATATTGGCTAAATGGCTACGCGCCATCGTGTCGGCATAGTCGTACTCCTCGCGAGTGATTCGCCCCGCAGTAAATGCCTCGGCCTTCTCCTTCATTTCAGAGGTATTACGAGCTAGACCGGGGAAGGCGGCAGTCCAGAAGGTCAAAGTGGTTTGGTAGGCGATCAGACCAACAATATAGAGTCCGACCGCAACCTCCCATTTGTCCCATGTATGCACCCCGAGCCAGCCAAATCCAATACCCCAGGCGATGATGGAGAGACCGATCAGGATGTTGGGTCGCCAGTAGCCAAAATCGGCGAAACTACCGATCGTCAAGAAGACGACCACTTGGATGGCAAAGGAGATGCCGTTACACAGCAGCACGATACTGTTGATGGACCGGCGACTTCCTGCAAACTCCATGATACCGTCGTAAGGTGCGGCCTGGTATAGCAAGTTCTGGAAAGCCGTTGGAGCGAAGTCTATCGCATAGAATATTAGAATAGGACCTCAAGGTCTTGGGAGCTCGGAGCTCCCGTATTTTCTAAAGGTCGAACGTACTGAACAGTGACAATCCATTATTTCCGATATAATAGCTAGATATGGGGTGTGTTTAGTTTCAACCCCAAAGTATGAAGTATGAGCGCGCTTCCGCTTCAACGAACAACGCACGCATAATAAGCCCAGATCTCATTCCTGGTCGTGCGATAATTGTCGTCGAACTGATCGGGAGCCACGAGTTGCTCCGACTTGTCACCGAGGGCGATTTGGGGCACGTCGCGATCCACCTCCTCGGCGGAGAGGGTGGTGTGCTTGTCTTTATCGGGCTCCATGATCACTTGGGCACTCTCGGGGGGTGGCAAAGGAGTGAGATGAGGAGAAGAGGAAGAGGAAGAGGGGAAAACCCAGATAGACCTGATAAATCCGGGAATTCTGTCTGGCTCGGCCACTCTTGCCCCACGCGGTGCCAAACCCTGTGTAGCTCCAAGCCAGTCGCATTGGAATAAAAAGTGCCGATCGCACGAGAGCAATCTGGATAAGACCCACGCTACGCCCACGTCCGGTTTAGACAGAGCTTAGCGACTCGGCCCGGGACCTATCACAGTCATCGCACGCCGGACGTGCATTTGGTGGAAATGGCAAGGTCCGGCCATTTAATTACGCGGTAGGGGTAAACTTGTCGGACTCTGAAGCAGTCGGAGGTAGCATTTTGGAATCGGATATTTATCAGATGCAATAATCGAAGATACTGAACGAACCCTTGAAACTCCACCTAAAGACGATCGGCTTCCCGGCGTCTGGGGTACGCGCTTTGCCGACCGGCCAAAACACCAGTGGGTCGTGAATCCGAGCATCAGGTCGGGTTACAGCTGAGCGGGGTCTGAATACTTTTTTGTCTTTCAACATCGTGACAATATCTACTGATTTGTTTCAGAAACTGCCACCCGAAGTCATACTTCTTATCGCCAAGGACATAGCATACTTTGTTGGCCTTGACTCTCTTCTACATGCCTCAAAATGGGTCGCTGATGTAAGCTCACGCAACCTTTTCGATATCACTGAGGATGGTATCTTTTCCTATGACTAGAAATGAAACTGAGAATTTAGAATTTGTTCCTAATTCCTTGCTTTTCAAACGAGTCAGGGCTCAAATTTTCAGGTCTTGATGATCTGAAATCCAAATTCACGGATCTTTCTCTTAGAAATCTCAATGAGAAGACGATTTACAGAACTCTTCGACAGGGTGCCCATATCCAGGGTCTCGCTTGTGCATGTATCTCTAAACTTCGTGAAAACCTCGAAATTGGGTTGGAATCTGCCATGGATGCGGAGTGGGAAAAGAACTTATTCCCTGATTGACGATAACAGATGACTGCAGAGGCGTCTTGGGTGGAAGAATTCCGTGTCTATAGGGCTCTACGGTGCTTCCAAATTCCATCTGAATCTGACATTTACCATACTTCTGGCTCAGTAACCTTGCAAAATGGCAGTGGGGGTAACTTCCGTCATTCGAGTTTCCCTTTCGCGCGAGACCAAATGAGCTCAATTGTGTTGCTGAAGTACTTGAGCATCTCGGAGCTTCTTGCGTTGTCCCATCAGACGGCCCTATTGATCTTGAAATCATGGGGTGCCCAACACCACGATATCTTTATCCTATTTTCGAGTCTTTGCAAGTGAAGGGTCTGCAAAATTAGTTTCGACCCCACCAACCCCGCCCGGAAGAACGACGTTTGGCCATCCGAAAAACCAATCCCTAGAGTCAGTTTGGGGCCGCAGTCCAGGATCTCTCTCCGGATCACCTGGATTGAGACTATGGTCGTGTCTATACCGTAGACTGCGTCGTCTACTGCGTCAGGATCCCCCGTTCCGCAATGCAAAAACATGTCATCAAATGGGCATACTTATATGAGATGACTGGAGACTGGTTTCTGTGGGCATTGACGAAGCGGCCGGTCAACTCTAGGTTTTCTACACCGGATTTCTCCCAGTGGTTTGAACCGGCGCCGCAAAATGGTCCACCTAAAAAATGCACTTTTGGTACTTTTGTGCACAGGTGGACTGCATTAGCGGAGACTCGGATTCCAATGAAATCGGCAGATATGTTTTCTTCCATGCGGTTGGAACTCCCCGCGGCCTGACCTTGCGCAAATCCATATACGATTGATAATGTCATCTGATCACCCTTACTGTTTTGAGAGATTCAGGCATGATACTAGTAGTACTCCAGGGCTAGTACTAGTAGTATATCAAGACCATGATATTCAAGTTTCAGAGATCTACTCATAGTATGGGCGTTCGCACCATCGCTATCTAGGTATTCATGCCACTGGTAGTGTATGCTATTTTGTGCAGGTGCACGATGAAATTGAGAAAATCAACTTGACCTTACGATAGTATTTTCAGGGCGAAGTTAATAAGATTAACCGATTCTCATGAATGATTGGGGGATTTAGGGTTAGGGTGAAGCCAAGGAAATGTCATGCCAAGGCGATCGACGTGAGGATTCGCGACTACATGAACGGGGAGGATGTGGAGGTGGAGGAACGGGAATTGAGGAAGCACCCTGATTCAAACCCACAACATTCACTCTGTTACTAAGCCAAAGTGTGAGAATGTTGGAAAGAGCCAATTTTCGGGATGTTGGCATGGGGAAGGAGCGATGGGGTGCGAAGGTGGACCACATGACATCACAACCTCTTCTTCTTCTCGCATTTCGTCTCTTCTGCCTCTTTCGCCTCCTTTTTGTGCAGACCCGGGTCTCATACATCAATTGCAAAGTTGCCACCCACACCTTCTCGGAACAAACGGAAGACAAGCACTCGGCAACGAAAACCGGCCCACTTGGCTCAGCCATCCCGTTGGATACCTCATTTCGCGCCGGCCCCGTTAGTTGAAGCACGCTCATTTGATTGCGGACACCAATCGATCAATCAGTGGCATCCACACAAGCGTCTGTGGATCAGGACAGGAACTAACAAGTGGATCGAAGCTTTTAATTGACTGGAACCTTTCCTCCTGTGAAGCACTGGCGATGCCAACCAGGAAATCACGATGATCCCATGGCCATTGCGTAGCCCTCCTCCACCCAGCTTCGGAGGAGGAAGTTAGAACTCCGCACTCGCTCCTACATACTAGGTATATGTTGACCCTCGTATCCACCAAGGGTCTTTCTCTCTGGGCTTTTCCTTTCCTCTCCATCGTTTTTCTTCACTCAAGGAGAGGTCGTCACCTTTTCACGAGTTGTCCCCGTCACCGACTACCGGTGCCGATCCCTGGTTATAACAGAGCCATCGTTGCTCTGTCTCCACTATAACATCTGAAAAGATTTTACACGGCGAAGATTTGACTTGTGGCCACAATGGACGCGGAGGAAGGGAATCTCAGGCGCCCGAGAGCGATGGTGAGTGTCATACTTCCAGATATATCATGCCCGGGTTGGTTTTGTTATCTAACATACGAGCGTTGCTAGTCTGGTGCTAGAGGTGAAGCGCCTACTTCGCCCACTAGAAGTGGCCGGGAACTGAGAGATGATGACGCTGTTTCGCCCACTCGACCATTCCCAACAATCGACGAGACCCCAGACGGCCTTCGTCGTCGAAGCTCCGCAGCAAGAAGTCGCCGTAGTGGAGTGCCGAGTCTCGCCCCAAGAACGACCCTGGCACAGAGAACGGCAGGCAAGTTCACTTTGGCGGGACCCGATGACACTCCTCAGATGGCTCTTGCCCACGAGCCATTCGTGCAGCCTGGATATGCCGACCTGAATCCGTCTTATGAACAGCCGAGCAATGCGAAGCCGGTGTGGTCGCTGGCTAAACCATTGCCTCGCGTGGTACGACCAGGAATGGTACCGACCAAGGAAGAGCTGCTCGAAAAGCGCGCCAATGCGCAGCTGCCTGCGGAGAATTCCCAGAGGATTGGACTGGAAGTGGATCCAAATGATTTGGAACAAGGCAGGATCGATAAGACCACGGACCCGCGAAAGATGGCTGCACAGGTGGAGGATGCTCGCCTGCAGCGTGAGGCCAACTTCATGAACAAGGTTCTTAATGGAGAAACAACAACCTCTGTTGGTGGAAGGCGCTCCCGACGCTACTCCCGGACGTCTAATCGGCCAAGACGCCCATCCCAATGGGAAGATCAGCTATCGATAGTGCAAGAAGGCGGGTCTCAAGCGACCGATGAAGACGAAGACCGGCCCAAGCCACCCGACTATCTGACCGACGATCCACTTCAAACTGTCCCTGAAGTTCCGGAGCATGTGATAGATGACGATGATCTGGCTGCCAAAATGGAGTTCCCAGGCCTGGACCATGCAACAGTCCCAGAGGATCTACACCCGTTAATCCAGGATCTCGTTGAAGATGAGATTCATAACAATCACACTACCTGGTCCGTCATTCGGACACACCACCGCGAGGCGTTAGCCGAAGCTCTGGCTGTCTTTGTCCAATTGACTATTGGATTCTGTGCCGACTTATCTGTGACTGTGGCAAACGCAGGAAACCCCAACACAACTTCATGGGCGTGGGGTCTGGCTACTATGATGGGTATCTATATTTCCGGTGGTATTTCCGGTGCCCATATGAACCCGGCAATTACTATAATCCTCTGGTTTTACCGTGGATTCCCTAAGAGCAAGATGCCTGAATACTTCGCCGCCCAATTTCTGGGTGCCTTTTGCGCAGCTCTACTCGCGTACGGAATCTACTATGAGTCTATCACTGAGTACATGAGCACTAACGTCGACGCTGGAATCATTACAAGCTTCGTGACCAACCAACGCGAGACTTGGATCAGCCCTGCCACGGCCTTTTTCAATGAATTCATCGGTACGGCTTTCCTAGTAGTGACTGTATTGGCCCTCGGTGACGACCAGAACGCTCCTCCTGGAGCTGGTATGAGCTCCTTGATCATCGGCCTTGTTATCACCTGTCTGTGTATGACATTTGGCTACCAAACCGGCGCCGCCTTCAATCCCAGCCGAGACTTTGGTCCTCGACTTGCTCTCCTCGCTCTAGGCTTCGGTAACGATCTGTTCCTCAATGCCTACTGGTTCTATGGTCCGTGGGTGGGTGCAGTGAGCGGCGGCTTCTTTGGTGGTTTCCTGTATGACATGTTCATCTTTACTGGTGGAGAGTCGCCTGTCAACTACCCGCTTGAGAGAACTCAACGGGCGATTAAGAAGAGCCGTATGAAGTGGAAGCAGCGTCTACATATCGGTAAGCAACAGCCGAAGAGCGTCGCTATGCCATGATCTGGCTGGCCTTCAATTGCGCGTCTTGAAGCGCTCCTCTGAGCCTATTGTTATATTGCAAGACTTCAACTTTCCAGTTGGTTGTAATGCATAAGCGGCCTAACCCCAAGGCTTACTCGCAGCAGCCGATTGATTCTAGCGATTTGACTTTCCGGTCATGGTTTCGAATTTCAATCTTCCTCCTATTGTATATAAAGAGAATTTCCATTTCCTGTCTAGTATGATGGCTGTTCCTGGGCTGTCCTCGAATAATATTACTCCATACTGTTACGGCTGGCTGTCGGGATCATCGATCCTTTTCCTGACAACCTTGGAACCGTTGGAAGTCATGGGCCAACACAGAAAGCGATGTTACTGATTGAAAATTTTATATTTATCGACTGCTATACCGCAAGTTATATCGGCAGGACCAACTTCCCCGATTGCCTCCAAGCGTCCCTCCATCTACAGTGCGTGCCGAAATTGGTGCCACCACTTTCACTCTTAAACTATGTTTCGATCTCGATCAGCTAAGCGCACTAGTCTGTATTAGGGATAGTCTCCGATTATTGATCTTCCTATATATTCTTCAAATAGACGTGCAGTCAAAAATCCAGCGTAATTTTGGACAACGCCTATTAATGTCTGTCAATTCTCCCGGTAAGGCCATGGGCTTCCCTTGAACTGGGTCACAACGAAAGCAGACTTACCATAGCAATGCCCCAGGCTATCATAAGAAGGGGCAGCTATCTCGAGGGCCTCAAATTTCTTCAAGGTCGAATTACTAGGCAGTTCGAATATGGAGTAGGCAAAAAAGAAGACCGTCACTATTTATCTTTAGGTCGCCTGTTCACACTATGCACGGCGTATAACGCAAGGCATACAGCACCAGCTATATTGTTGCCCTGACATATAAAAATCGTCAAGTAGCCCCTCAATTTTTGCATTCCCAATATTACCGCGATCGAGGAAAGCAAGAAAATACAAGACTGCAAGCATTGGAAGAAGCCGGATATCCATTTTTCGTAGGATTTGCAGTTCTATTTCAGGAGTGTATGTAGGTGGAAATTTATATTTACCCCCGGACTCTCTTTCGGCATACGGCTTAGGCGAAGAGTTAAATTCCTCCACTAGCACTGTCGAGGGGTTTTCTATATCGGCATTCATTGCGGAAGTGTTGTGCGCGGAGGAAGAAGAGATGATATAAAGGAAGCCCCTAGCCCAGGCTGCAGCTAGACTTGGCCCAGTTGCTAGCTGTGGAAGACGGCGCGGTGGAGCTCATAGAAGAAGAAATAGAACCCGAGTGTAATTATTTGCTGCCGTTCCAAGCATCATCACCAATGGGCGTGCTCAGAATGTCTTCTTCGATTGAATCGGCACTGTCGACCCAGAGGTTGAGGCCATTGAAGAGCTTCATAGAGTCGTTATAAGCACCAGGGATCTTATAGGTTAAGCTCGGGGAGCCATTGCCGGATCCAGTGACCTTGACTTGGGCACAACTATACATATCTTAGTCAAATTAAACCATCATTCAGAAAGAAGCAAGTTAAATCACCTGTAGAAGAACTCTGCCTCATTGGCCTGCGCCCCATGGAGACCGACGTGCTCAGCACGAATAAGGTACTCGCCAGCCGGGGTATTTCCAGGGATCTGGAACTCGAATTGTGGCATGCCCCAGGTACACCAGGCATCTTTGGTAAGATCACCGTTCTCGTTGCAAAGGGTCTTTTCCCAAATCTTGAACCATTCACCATCGCCTTCATACTCCTGGACATTACCGGAAGGTGCCTTGGACATGACTATGATCACAGAGATGATTAGAATACGGGGAAAAGGAATCCTAAGGACATGAACGTACAAACTTGACCAGGTCCTGGATGTGCGATGGTAGCATCATAGAAGAGCTTCATAGCAATGGTGTCACCAGCCGCGACCTCGGCGACTTCGGTTTTGGCTGCATTGGAGAAAGATCCCAAGTTGCAGCGGAAGTCGTTGTCAATAGGTGTCAGATTGTCAAATGTAGATGTGAATTTCGTGGGCATATAGTTCACGCTTCGAGTAGTCTGACGAATATACTGCCAGTCACTTGATGCTTCGCCATTGAGAACAAGTTTGCTGAAAATGTAGTGTGCTGAAGCGGACTGCACCAGCGCGGCCCCTATGGCAAAAAAGCGAGAAGGCTTCATTTTGAAGAAAGAAAATGTAAAAGACTGATGATAGATGAAAGAGAATAGAAGAACTACCCCAGTTAGACCGAAATGATTTCAAATGTGAGATAATGTGTCGCTGATTAAAAGCTAACAAGCAGCAGAAGGCTGAATTTATTGACAATTGAACGAAAGTTCTGGGCTCTCACTTGTGTCTCACTGTCTCACCTGACAGGGGATTTCGCACATGCCACCTCTTAGTTTCATATACTTGTTACAAGATTCAACTGCATGTTTCATTCAATGTTAAACTGCCGTGGATAGGAGAGTCTTGGCCTTTAGCCATTGTCCTCACCCTGCCGCCTTCAGAGATGACAATTCTATAAGGTAAACTTTCATAACGAGGCAAATAAGAATCCTTCAATCTCCAATTTGAATGCACGATGACATATTCATCCTGCTGGGGCTCTCAGGCATAGTTTAGTTGTTTATCTCATACCATCAGATTCGGGGTCAGACTTACAAACTATGTCTGATAGTTATCTTTTAGTTCTCACAAGGATGCCAAGATCTATCTTAAACTGCCAAGACAGAACCACTGTTTGACTTCTGTGAAGAGGCGGGAAATAATACGAGCTAGGCTTGATTACCGGCCCTCCTTTTAGGCTGATTGGGACTTCAGATGACCGCCAGGAATTTTGAACACCGAGAAATCAGGCATTAAAAATCTCGAGTCCCTGCATGTCGTCCGTTTCGGATAAATTTGATAAGCAAGATGCTAGTGTCAAGATTTTTCGCGACCTGGAATCGGCCATTATGGGGGAAAATAGTATTGTATGGAGAATGGTATCAGTCTGTTCAATTCAGAATACTCCGTACCTCGAAAATAAATATAACCACCGTATTGCAACGAAATTAAATCACGGTATCGAGACTGGTACAGGAATATTACTTTTCTGACTATCTTCCCAATGTGTTTTAGCTCTTCTTGGCAGGGGGCTAGGTAATCACTTAAAGAGTGTAGGCGGTTGCATCGGTTTCGGGACGTACTGTACCCACATGCTGATTCTCATCCATGAATTTCCATCTCACAACTTGGATTTACTAGATATCTGCTCTTGTTTCGCAGTATCTTTGAGGGTCCTTCGCAGAATCTTGCCCGCGGCACTCTTTGGAATCTCATCCACGAATCTGATTCCACCCCTCAGCTTCTTATGTGGGCTCACTTTCGCGTCCATCCATGTTCTGATTGTATCAGCTGTAGTTGACGATCTTTCAATGCCGTTCGGTACAACGATATAAGCGCGAGGGACCTCTGTATGATCCTGGTCAATTCCAATAACAGCCACATCGTTGACGCTTGGGTGGGAAATGAGAAGTCCTTCAAGCTCTATTGCTCCGTTAGAAATGGCTTTGCGAGTGTCCATTGGAGAGAGTACTAACCTGCCGGAGCAACCTGGAATCCTTTATACTTGATCAATTCCTTCACGCGATCCGTAACGTAGAAGTTCTCTTCCTTGTCATGATACCCGACATCTCCAGTCTTGTAGTATCCATCCGTCGTGAAGGAAATAGCAGTGCCTTGTTCATTCTTCCAATACCCCCTGAATATACTAGGTCCCTTGAGACAAAGTTCCCCATTTTCCCCGGCTGGCACTTCCGCACCTTCGGGCGATAGACACTTTGCAGTCAGATTCGGCATCAGCTTGCCGACACTGCCAACACTAGCATGCCAGTCATCCCAAGGCTGCGCGTGCGTAACGGGACTTGTCTCACTAAGTCCATAAGCCTGGTTGATTCGAATGTTGAGTCGGCTGTGGATGGTCTCGACTAGTTCGCGGGTGAGCGGCGCAGCTCCGGATGTAACCATGCGCAACGAACTCAGGTCGAATTTATGGGCCATTGGGTTGCTGGCGAGATGGACTAGTACAGGCGGTGCGACATAGGCGAAAGTGATCCGTGCGTTCTGGATTGTCCGGAGAAAGATTTCGAGGTCGAAGCGTTCCACTGCGACCATTTCGATGCCTCGGTAAAGCGGTTGGTGAAGGAGGCAAGTGAGTCCTAATAATGGGGGTTAGGTATTCCGGCAAATAAATTATCGGGTAAGTTGGAATAGCTAGCTTACCGTAGAGATGATAGAAGGGCAATATTCCGATCACCTTGTCGTTCTTCCAATTGTAGCTTTTACCCACGGATGAAGTCACCATCAGGAGATTTGCAACAATGTTCCGGTGGCTTAACATGACTCCCTTGGGTAGGCCGGTAGTACCAGATGAGTAGACAATGAATGCAAGGTCACTGTCGGGATCTAGGATCTCTCGCGGCCTGTCATCGAGAGGTGCTGATTCCGGTCGCGCTATCTGATCAAAGTGCTTGAACCGACTTGTTGGATCTCGCTCGTCACCAATGAGAATAATTCTCTTGGACGAAATGCCCAATTTTTCAGCCGCCGCAGTGACAGTTGGTAGGAGGGATTTGAATGTTGCGATGGCTTTCGTGCCATTGTCTCTGAGCTGGAAAACCAGCTCGTCGACGGAATAGCTGGGGTTCGCAGTCGACACGATCCCACCAGCGAAGAAAGTACCATACATAATGACGGGCATGTCAATGCTGTTCGGTGTGAAAAGAGTCATTATGTCGCCTTTCTTCCATCCCCACTCCGAGCGCAGCCCTTGTCCAAAGGCAATTGCAGCGCTGTGAAGTTCGGAGTAGGAATAAGATCGGCTTGTGATGGCATCGCGATAGATGACTGGCGAGTGTTCAGAAATCAGTCAGTGAGTATAGTAAGTACATTTAGTTTCAGTCAACTCACTCTTGTCCAAAGGGAAGTTCTCCTCTCGCTCCTTTTCAAACATCAATCCCCACAGGTCAACCTCGGGGATCTTGACATCAGGATAGATGGCAGAGAATGTCATCTTGGGCAGTTTGATGGATAATCGATCGAAGCAGTATGTCTTTCTGTCCGTTATCTGCCTAATACTGATGCTTTTAGCTAATGCCCAGATCCGTGCAGTGGTTGAATTTATATTCTCGCGCTGGCCGTGCACAACTTGAACAACCTAGGCACAACCCCTTTCCCCTCACCAGGGTTTTGGCCCCCCTCGCACTCTTCGGCCCCCCACCTTTCTAGTCCGGTCAGAAAGCTTACTAGTAGTAGCCCCTCGCACTCCACTTAGCAGATAATTTGCGACCGCTTCTTCACGGTGCTCGCTAGTTTTTAATGCCTAGTACCTGCTAGGTACCCCTTTTTGTCTTGTGAACTCTCATTAGCAGCGCCACGAAGCCCCAACATCTAGCATATATTGAACGTTGGAAGAAGCCGCAGTTTAATCTCAAGGTAGCTTTCGCTCACCCTTCAAGTCGGAGATGGCTATTCAAGCATTCAAAGATATCAAAGCAAACACACGGCCATTCATCTGGGTACCCTAGGTAGGTACATACTACCCAGCTAGGCAGCCTAGAGTGCTTCACAGACAACTACTAGTACTGGCAGTGCAGTGATCTTAGTAATTTTAGATACTACCAGTATTGACATGGAGCTGTAAATATTTATTTAGCTGATAAATGTGATCCTTTGAATAAATCTTTAATTGCCTGCCCTACCGGGACCCACTAACGTATTTTCCTAAAGGTTACTAGCGGCCATCCAGGTGGGTCAGCACAAAACGCCATAGTTAAGGCAATGAATTACAACTCAATATCTTATAATAACCCTTATTTATTAATAAAATCTCCTTAAAGGGTCATATTATTCCTAACTCTGCTTATATCCTTACTAGTAGATAATTTACTTTAGAGTTAGTATGGCATCCCAATATTTTTGGCGCTGGCCGACCCACCGACTGGCTAGTAAAACATCATGTTATCCAAGCTGGCCGGGTTGGAGTACCGGAATCGGAGAACCTTGGAGCTCGATGCCAGTGGAAGCTCGAGCCCATGTCTAATTTGCTGTACGTATGGCATCACAGAGTGAGAGTTCGGATAGACACCCAAAAGAAGCAGCGATACCGACCATTTAGATGTTATCGCGCGACTATAATCAATATGTCGTGACGAGCAACATTTCCCGAGCAGCTTTCAAGTTTGACTTCGAATTGCGATTTAAATCGCTACTCGCCCCAAATTCTTTGGATAAATGTCAATCAACATAAAGAAGGTGGTATAATCCAACCAACCGAGTCCCCATTGCACAATGGCAGACACGAAAAGCGCCCCGTCCCCGCCAACCAAACCAGACGGGGACTCTACAATCGTGGTGAACTCTATAATCGAGGACTCGCAGAGTCCCACGCAAGCGAAACCCCAACGCTCATTCCGCTCCTTCATCTGGGACACAGATACCCATCTCAAGACAAGCGCCGAGCGCCGCTTTCTTCTGAAACTCGACGCCGCCATTCTCAGCGTGGGATGTCTGGGGTTCTTCATGAAATACCTCGATCAGGGAAATATGGCCAACGCGTACGTGTCGGGGATGCAAGAGGCGCTTTCTATGTATGGGAATGAGTATACGTACGCCGGCACGGCGTACACGGTTGCATATGCCGTCATGCAAGTGCCTAGCACGTTGATCGTGCAGAAAGTCCGACCGAGCGTTTGGCTCCCTGCGATGGAGATTGGATGGGCTGTTTTTACGTTTGCGCAGGCGGGATTGCGGGATGTGGGTGAGTTGTATGCTTTTCGGTTCTTGATTGGGTTGTTTGAAAGTTCTTTCTTTCCGGTTCTTCTTTACGTGTTGGGGAGCTGGTATACGAAGACGGAATTGGCTAAGAGAGTTGCGCTCTTTCATATGACGGCTCCGCTGGGTACGGCGTTTGGTGGATATCTTCAAGCGGCTGTTTATAAGAATTTGGATGGGGCTCATGGGCTGGCTGGGTGGCGGTGGCTCTATATCATTTGTGGGGTAAGCAATTCACTGACTCGGAGTATCGGACATACTTATCTGGGAAATGAGGATCGAAAGGCGCGCCGCGAATGCTAAATGATGGTGTTTAGTGCATGACTGTTCCTGTTGGAATTGCTACCTTTTTCCTGCTTCCCGATACTCCATATACCACTCGCGTCTGGTATCTCTCCAAGAGTGAACGTGACCTAGCCGAAGAGAGAGTGTTGAAAGCAGGAAAGGCAAAACCGGTGAAAATCACCCTGGCCACATTCAAGAAAATCCTAAGCTCTTGGAAGTGGTATGTCTTCGTCATAGGATATGTCGTGAGTTGTCCATATTCTGGGGAGTTGACGCATTCTTGGAGACGCTTTTTTTGACATGCAAAAACAGCTCTATGGCGAGTCGTGTGGTGCCAGCTCATACTTCGCTATCTGGCTGAAATCCGAGGGATTCTCAGTCGTTGATCGAAATCTTATCCCCACGGGAACTTCTTTGATTTCAGGAGCGTGTGTTGTGATTTGGGGATTCCTCTCAGATTACACTGGAAGCAGATTTGCCTGGGTGCTTGTACCTCTGGTTAGTGGAACTTCAAAACGCCTTATACGTTGTTTTGTGAATACTCATGACAAAATAACAGATCCTCGCGCTCATTCCTAATGGCATTCTCGCCGTCTGGCCATCAAGCCTGGCTCTGAAAGAATTTGCATTCTTAACTGTCAATGTACATCTTATGACAGCTGTGTTGTATGTTTTTTTCCAGCCTATTTGAGAAAGTCCAAGAATGTGGCTAATTGATTCGTCCTATGTAACAGCTATTCGTGGGCTAATGAGGTTTGTGCCGACGATAATGAGGAGCGGGCTGTGGTAATTAGTAGCATGAACGGATTTCAGTATGCGGTTGCGGCCTGGCTACCTATCGTGATCTTTCCACAGACTATGGCGCCGACATTTAGTAAGTAAACCCTCTGCGAATGCTGGATCCGCAATATAACTAACATCTGTGATTTAGGATATGGCTTTCCGACAACATTTGGCTTAGTCATTGCAGCGATTATCGCTGTTGTTGTGATTCAGATATTTGTTTTGCGAGATAATCGGAATCGGAAGGAAAGGGAGGCCTCGAGCGGAACCCAGGAGACATATTAAAGTCCGCGACTTGGGATATCTTACCACACCGAAGTACAGAAGCTTCGATTTGCTCAAGCCTCGAAATTGGTCAAAGCTGGAAATGAATATATTAAGTTTGAAGTTGTTATTCCGAGTATCACTAGATCTAAACTTAGTTGAAGATCCATGGATTGTTAACGGAAGGTGTGATGGAAACATTGCCTTTGGTCGAGAATCATGTTACTACGTCGCTGCTCTCCTGAGAAGCCCGTCGGTTCTGCCTTGATATTGGCATATATCAGTAGTAGCGGAATAATATCACTAGTAATAGATCTGATACCACAGTTCTGATCGCCTGCGGCGGATGATCTTAAAGTTTAGTCCCGAAGCCTGCGGGCCGAAACCCTCAAGTACTCTCAAAGTTAAAAAAACTTCAACGCCGGCAGGGCTCTACAGAAACTCCTTCTACACAAATCCACGATACTAGTTAGCACATTAAATGACTACTGGTAAGGAACGCAATTATCCGGAGTGAAATTTATTTCTTTAAAAGATATACAGGCTAAACGAATGTGAGAAAATAAATATTCACAAGAACAAACAAATCCATCCGCCTCCGGAAAGTACGAATCGAATTCAAATTCAATCTAATCTTAACATCCCGAATCCGGGGCAATTCCAAATCCCAATTCAATCCATCACTCCCTGACGCCAGAAGAGACGCTTTTAGACGGCAATGGCGAGGACGGCAGCGGCGACGATGGCACCGAAGGTAGAGCCAGAGCCGGTGCGGGCAGCAGCGTTGAAGGTGGAGGAGGCGGAGGCAGCAGAGCCGGAGCTGGAGCTGGAGCCGGAAGAGGAGCCTGATCCGGAGCTGGAGGTGCCGGAGCTGGAGCCAGAACTGGAACCAGAGCTAGAGCCGGAGCCAGAGCTAGAAGAGCCGGAGCCAGTGGCGGAGGTCAGAGGGGTGGAGGTGCGGCTGGCGGAGGCGAAGCTGGAGGCGTGGGTGCCGTTACGGCCGGGGACGAAGGTAGGCTTGGAGCTCACGACAGGAGCGGAGGCAGAGCCGGAGCTGGAGCCAGAGGCACCGGAGTTGGAGGAACCCTTGCCGGAGGAGCCAGAGTTCGAGCCCGAGGAGCCAGAGTTCGAGCCCGAGCCGGAGCTAGAGCCAGAGCCGGTGGAGCCCTTGCCGGAGAGGCCAGTGGAGGAAGAAGCAGCAGCGGAGCTGGAGGAGGTGCTGGTGGAGCTGGAGTTGCAGGACAGGTCGAACTGAGGAGTGCTCAGGTCGCTCTTGACGACACCGAAACTGGGGCTGGCACCCTCGTCCTCAAGCATGTACCACCAGGTGTTGGTGTTGCCGAACAGAGGGCAACCAACCTCGTCCCAGTATTGCTTAGCATTGGCGGCAGAGGCGGTAGCATCGCCCTCCTGGGGACCGCTGACGGGCCAACCGGTCTCGGTAATCCAGACCTCCTTGCCGTTGGCGACAGACTTGGTCTTCGCGACGGAGTCGTCGAAGAGGGCCTTGGCGTTCTCGATACCGTTCTCCATGGTGAGCTGGTAGTAAGGGTATCCGTCGAAGCCGAGCCAGTCGAGGTGGTTGACGACGTCGGAGTTGGAGGAGTTGGTCCAGGAATCCCAGGTGTCGACGTGACCGATCTGAGCGGAGCTCAGGCCGGTGCCGGCGATGGTAGAGCGAACCTCCTTGATGTAGGAAACGAGCTCCTCGGGCTCGACACCGGGGCCGGCGTTGGACTTGGAGCCGGTGACCGAGTTGCGGTACATATCCTCGCTACCGACGGAGATACCGACGACCAGCTTGGCGAAGTCATCACCGTACTGGCTGATGGCGGCCTTGAGAGCGGTGATCTCGTTGGCCATGTTACCTCCGGAGGCCCAGAGACCGAGAAGCAGCTCGGTCTTCTCCTCAATGGCGGCGGGGATAGCCTCAATGGGGGTGTTGGTGGTACCGCCCTGGATCATGGTGTAGAGACGGGCACTGGTGAAGCCGGACTGGCCGACGAGGGCCTTGGCGGCGGCGAAGTCCTTCTTGAAATCGGCCTGGTACTTGCTGCTGCCATCAGCCTTGGTGGCACCGTAGTTGAAGCCCTTGGAGGCGGCATCGACCGACGCCACGGAGAGGGCGAGGGCAAGAAGTTGAATCATCTGCATTATGAAAAGTGGCAAGCGAATGTCTATGTGTAAGAGAGATGGTATATAAGAAAGAAATCAGATAAAAGTCTGAAGAGAAAGAAGGTGGGAAAAGAATGAGGAATAAAAGAAAGGATTCCTCGTAGATGAAAATTGGAGATGTAACAGAGAGAGGAGGAGAGAGAGAGAGAGAAAGATGAAAACGGGGAAAATGAATGGAGAAATACCGAAAGCAAAAAAAAGGTCTAGCCACCTGCAACCAGCAGAGCACACAGTAACCTGCCAAAAGAAAAGGAAAATGATGGAAAGTCTAGAACGCCGCCACCGAGTGGAACCACAGTGGAGTACGACACGTTTGCTTGTTGAAGTCTTTGTCCTTCCCGATTGGTCAACCCGACATCACTCGATGCCAAAAATACATCGATGTGCCAATGGCCTTGTCTCTCCTCTCCCTAAACTGGGCAGAGACCAAAAGTGGATCTTAATCCACATGTCGGTGCCTGCAGACGCCATTTCCATTACAGTGCAAGTCTGTGGCTTGCCCCATTTGCCGGTGCCCCGGATGTGTTCTCCCTCAACTGGCCCCCAGTCCCATTTTTCTGTCAGAATTGTTCGTCATTGGAACGATCCGATCATGATTGCACCGTGGAATGACACCCCCAATTCCAACAATGAACCCTAGCCTGGGGGAGTTTGGTATGGGTCTTGGTTTTCGGGGTCTTGGGGGTTGCAGTTCGCTATTACCATACCCAATCGTCCGGTCGTCCCGGAGGGCGGAGTCTTAGTCTCGGCACGGAGGAGTCCGATCCTGATTGATGCAGGGGGGGGAAAGGAGAGAAATGGGGGAAATTAATGTCTTGCTCGGGGCTGGCCAACTTGTGAACTTGTTCAAGGGGTAATTCATCTATCCCGGCTGTAAATAGAACGCAAATGATGTGTGTGCACATCGCTAGTGGGGATCGGCGCTGTTGGGTGACGATCGAGTCGATTCGGGTGGACACTCTCGACACCTCACATTTGAGGCACCCTGGCGACGAAAACGGACAAACTTCAATTCTGGGAAAGTGGCATGGCAGAATGGAGTATTCCGTAGTAGTATCGAACAAAGAGTTTATTCTTTCAAGTAGTACTCCACATTTAGTAACTACCTAGGTAGTGGTTTGTAGATAGGCAATACTGAGAACGGCCCCCGGGGCGATCTTCACTACTTTAAATTCAGTCCGAAGGGGGAGGGGCAACTGCATCTGTACTCCCTTACACTACGGAAGATCGAGTATAGTAGACATATAATGAATAATGTTTGGATCTCATATGCATTCAAGTAATGTTCAAGTTCTTTGTGAGCAATGGTATATACAATACAATCAAACAGGTGACGTTCATCCTCGGCTCCGAAACCTAGTGCTCGGAGACGAAGATACCGGCCATTCCCATACCCTGACGGCGAAAAATCGGTTAGTTCAAATCCGGAGACAGTGGAGACAATGCCTTTGCGTTTACTTACGGTTCCAACACACATCGATGTCACCGCGACACGCTTGTCCTGGCGACGCAACTCGGCCAAGGCAGTGACAACCTGGCGGGCGCCGGTTGCACCGAGAGGATGACCGAAAGCACTGGGAAAAATTAGTATTCCGAAATAATGCCCATCACGGTTGAATAAGGGGTTCGGGTTCGCTTACATGGCACCTCCACGCGGGTTCACCTTGGACTCGTCGAGGCCCAATTTGCCAACACAGTAAACACCCTGCGAAATAGTTAGACAGAGCGCGGCGATGATAACATAAAATAAAACCAGCACATACCATCGAAGCGAAAGCCTCATTGATCTCAAAGATATCAATCTCATCCTTGTTCAGGCCGAACTTGCCCAGGATCTTGGGGATGGCGATGGAAGGACCAATGCCCATGATGCGAGGCTCCAGGCCCGCAACAGTCGCACCGCAGAACTTGCCAATAATGGGCTGGCCCAGCTGCTGCGCCTTGGAGCGCTTCATCAGGACCAGAGCCGCAGCACCATCGGTGATCTGACTGGCATTACCACCGGTCGTCGCGCTGGGCTTCCACTGCGGGAACGCGGCGCGAATCTTGCTCAGGCTCTCGGCAGTCGTACCGTAGCGGATACCATCATCCCGATCCACAACCACATCCTTGACCTCGCCGGTCTTGGGATCCTTGACCTGGGTCGTGATAGGAATGATCTCGTCATTGAACCAGCCCGCCTTCTGCGCGCGCTCGGCCTTTTGATAGCTCTTAGCTGCGAACTGATCGTGCTGCTCGCGCGAGATGTTGAAGTCGCCCGCCACGTTCTCCGAGGTCCAGCCCATAGGCTGGTAGTTCTGCGACGCGAGAGGGTGCTTGTTAATACGCTCGGCCATTTCGGGGGAGCCGCCATCGGAGTTGGTACTCATGCTCTCTGCACCGACGGCGATACCCACATCGATGGAGCCGGCGGTGATCTGGTTGGCGATGTTCTGGATGGCTAGCAGGCCCGAGGAGCAGAAGCGGTTGGTCACGGAGGTGGCAGCGGTCGCGGGGTATCCAGCAGCCAGAACGGCGGAGCGGGCGAGGTATGCGGCGCCGGGAGCGAGGCAGTTGCCCACGCAGACATCTTCGATGAGGTTGGGATCAACATTGGACTTTTCGCGCACGGTCTGTTTTGAATGTTAGAATATATAAAAGTGGCCATGCCCATTGGGTCATTTGGGGGGGGAGCTTACCGTGAGCAGCGAAATCAGCAGGTTATCGATGGTGGTGTCCTTCAATCCACCCTTGCGAGCCTTGGTGAGAGGTGTACGGGCGAGATAGGTGATCACCTGGATGAGAAGCAATTAGTATTTAATTTACCGATGATCAAAATAGGATATCTGTAGCGGGGATTTAAAAAAAAAAAAACATACCACGTCATCGGCATTCTTAGCCAAAAGGCGTTGCTTCGCAGCCGATGTCCCAGGGGGAGACAGCTGGTTTGCGACAGAGTTTAGTCTTTGTTGTGGTGAAGACATGATGGGATGTGGAGAGTTGGAGAAGGTGGGAAGCTTTTTTTTTCTCCTTTGGAAAGGAGAAGGCACTTAATATCGTCCGGGGTCACAGAAACAAACGCGGGGCGAATGGACCGCGGCTCATTCTGTGCCAAACATTTTCACCGGACCGAAACCAGCTGGGCCGAGCTGCTGAACATCTCCACTTCCAACTGTGAAGTACGGAGTGAATACTGGAAGCATCGTGGGAAGCCGAAGAGAAGTGCCGACGCCGATGATGGAAGTGTGTAATATACCGTCACAATTTAATCCTCGGCTCAAATTTAGGGCTTTTAATTGGCGACTACCTGGTAATATTACGACCGAGGTGTATTGATCTGCAGTATTCATACGCTTAACTAGGGCGACCGATGTCGGCAATTGATTGTTGAATGGAATTTAATGTTGACCAGGATTTTCATTTTCTCAGATGAGAATCGTGAATACTTAGGTATAGTATTACATCAAGACTCATACTGAATATCTCATCTGCGGTATATAATCACCAACAGACTAAGGTTGCTGATATAGACATCTGGTCTGATCCGCCAACCGCAAACCCGGGGTAAACCCGTCGCCAGACCTGTGGGGAAGACGAATGAGGATACGGACGTTGCTTACAATCTCTCCACCTCGGATTCTGCTAGTGACGAGCTAGAGAAAGGTACTTACCGACCTAGGAACGGCAGATCGCTCCAGCCCAGCTTCCGTCTGGATTTCCTTTCCTTCAAGTTCTGGGGGCTCTCTTTTAATTCAAGTTCCCCAGATCTCTCTCTGTGTTCGAACAATTGCACAACAATCTCGAAGCTACTCAATTATAAACCTCCAGGGAGCGTTGAAAAATCGACCATATACAGATACGATACATAACCTTGCCAACCTTAGGGAGCTTCTCACAATGGACATCCTATCTGAAGTTGGCGCCCCCGCCGTGGCCATGGGAACGGCCCTTTCCCTTGCTGCCGGCGCCTACCTGAATGCAAAACTATCCATCAGCACTGACTTGACTGTCTTGAAGAATGACCGCGCCTTTGGGCAACGTCTCGGTGAGCGCATTGGCAAGCTTGGCGAATCTCCGACTATTTACAAGATGCTTCAACGAGTTGTCGAGGTTGAAGGCCAGGGTACTGCAGATGCGCTCTGGTTTGAACACAAAACCTGGTCATACAACCAATTAAAAGAGTGTAAGTGCAGTGCTGAGCCCTTGCATTTTGACGAACGCAAGAAGCTAATCTCTTTTCAGTGGTTGATCGATTTGCCGCCTTGCTGCACGCACGCGACGTGAAGAATGGCGATATGATCGGAGTATTCACGACGAATTCGCCCGAGATGGTCGTCACCCTGTATGCACTGTCTAAGCTTGGCGCAGTAGCTGCCATGATCAACACCAATCTACGAGGTACGTATCTAAATCACTAGCTTCATGGAACACACTAACAGAACCCAGATGACACATTCATCCACTGCCTCAACGTCTCTGGATCCAAATCGATCATCTCAACCCCAGATATCGCGCAGCATGTTTGCGCTGATCTCCCACACTTATCATTCCACTTCTCCTCCTTCGAGGGTGTGTCCTGCGGCGATGTAGAGCTCATCACGCAAGCCGAATTGCAACAATTCTCACCAGCCGGACTAGCACCCGCTAAGCGCACACCGAAGGATCTCACAGCTTTGATCTACACATCCGGAACAACAGGCAAGCCCAAAGCCTGCGCTGTACGAAACATGATGGCCCTAATAACCTCCAACCCGCTCTCTGCCGACGTCAATGATCCGTCTAGATTCTACCCACTCCGCACATACTCCGCCCTACCGCTCTTCCACGGCACAGCCTTCTTCACCGGCCTCTGCTACTCGGTAGGAAACGCCGGAACCCTCTGCATGAGACGCAAGTTCTCAGCCTCGCAGTTCTGGAAGGACGTCCACGACTCAGGCGCCACTCGCATCCTGTACATCGGTGAACTGTGCCGGTACCTGCTCGGCACGGCCCCCTCCCCCTATGACCGCGACCACAAGTGCATCGCCGCGTCCGGCAACGGTCTTCGCGGCGAGATCTGGGAGAAATTCAAGAGTCGCTTCGGTGTGCAGGAGATTCGCGAGTTCTATCGCTCAACGGAGGGGTTGGCTAAGTTCGACAATCACGGTCCGGGCGTGTGGGGTGCTGGAAAGGTTGGATTTTCCGGCCCCATTCGTCGGTTCTTGGAAGATGATACATTTATTGTCAAGTATGATAATGATACGGAGATGCCGTTCCGTGATCCTGGGACTGGGTTCTGCGTGAGGGCTGGGTTGGATGAGGAGGGTGAGGCTATTGGTCGTGTGCGTGATCGTGGCTTGTTGACGGAATACTTGCACAACACAGAAGCTACTGAAGGGAAGCTTCTTCGGGATGTTTTTCAAAAGGGTGATCTTTTCCAGCGGACGGGTGATTTGGTCGTGCAGGATCGATCTGGATGGGTTAGGTTCCAGGACCGTGTTGGCGATACTTTCCGCTGGAAGGGCGAGAATGTCAGTGCCGGAGAGATTCGCGATCATATTTGTCGTATTGAGGGTGTCCATGATGCTGTCGTGTATGGCGTCAAGCTTGCTGGGTAAGTCTTCAATCCTTGGCTAGCTATGTTTCCGATTTCTAATTCGTGTTTCTAGATATGATGGTCAAGCTGGCGCTGCAGGTATCACGCTCGAGGAGCATTCCCCCGCCTTTGAGGCTGAGCTTGCTTCGAAATTATACCCTGAGCTGAAGAAGCGTGGTGTACCATCATATGCTTTCCCTCGTCTTGTACGATTCATTGAAAAGTGAGTTTTGTTTGTCGGATCAGCGAATGGATTTTGCTAACGGTGCTTTTGTTAGGGTTTCCACTGGTGTTACTTTCAAGCAGGCTAAAGGTGATCTGCTGAAGAAGGGATGGAACCCCAGCCAGGACTCTGCTGGTGATAGCCTATACTGGCTCAACGGAACTAATTACGAGAAGCTTGAGGACAACAGCTGGTCTTCCATCGAGAGTGGCAAGGCTAAGCTGTAAGTAAGATGGGGCCTGTGAGATTGTATAATCGTGTCACCGCTGTAAATAGAAACATTTGCGATAGATAAATAGCATGTATTGACCACTTTGATTGGTTGAAGATGAAATAGTCCAAGAAAAGAACTTTCGGCCAGAGACTCGGGTAATTTGGGAGCGAGAATGGGGAGGTAAGCGAGGCTAACGAGAGTAGTACATAAGCTGGCAGAATATTAGCCCAGAAAGCGGTGAATCTGTCTAGCCTTCAGCCACGGCCTTCCATCAAACTGTACTTCAATACATACCGGGCTGGCTTATAGAGAAGATGATAAGAGCAGGAACTGGCACTTTGGCACACTAATTCCCTGAAATCCCTGTCAAGAAGTCCTTCTTCTTCTTCATCTCTTCGACACCTTACCAATAACCCAATCACCAAGACACCCACCCCGATCTATAATTCCATTCTACCTCATCCACGCCATGCCCACACCAACCGTGCTTCCGCGCCCCTTCACAGGAGTGGTACACGGCAGTGAAAATCCAATCGAAGCACCATCCGAAGCAGCCTTCATCACCCAATTCGGAAATGTACTCCCAAAGGCAGAATTCATGCATATCTTGGGGAAATCCGCCTACTACTCTCTTCCCCCCTCATCGCCCGCGCCAGCAAATATCAAGAACCCCATCTCGCGGGTCGTACTTGTACATGGTGTCCAGACCCCCGCAATTGGCATGCAGCCCCTGGCCAGCGCACTGAAAGCCCGTTTCCCCTATGCGCATTGCGTTCTCGTTGATTTGCCGGGCCACGGGCTCTCTGACACGCCTGTTATTGCCCATGAAGCTGAGCTATTTCTTGGTTTGATTGACGGTTTGATGTTGACGCTTGGGTGGAAGGATGCGCATTTTATTGGCTATTCCTTTGGTGGGTCTCTTGTTGCGTCGTATGCTGCAGAGACGCCTGAGATGGTTGCGTCTATGGTTCTTGTCGCGCCGGCGGGTCTGGTGCGAAGCTCAGACTTGAGTGAGGACGAAAGGAGCTACATGCGCGGTGGTGAGGGGTTGGAGGATCGGGCTCGAGAGTGGGTTTTTGAGTTCTTGGAGGGTGGGAAGCTGGTTGTTCCTTCGGATTGGAAGGAGAGGGTTGCGAGGGGGGAGGTCGTGGCGGAGGCTGTTCGTGATTGGCAAATGAAAAACCACAACGGGCACGCGGCGAGTGTGGTTGGGATAGTCAGAGATGGTGGTGTCTTCGATAAACATGCCAGGTTTTCCGCGGCCTCGAAATCTGGCGTTAAAGGTCTCTGTGTGCTTGGGGAGTTGGATGACTTGTGCAGCGTGCAGGCCTTGCAGGAGGTGGGTATGAAGAACGTCGCTGTTGTGCCCCAGGTTGGACATGGAGTCGTGAGAGAGAGGGTGCCGGAGGTTGCTGGATTTATTGAGGACTTTTGGAAGCAGATTGAGAAAGCATAATCACTGAGCCCAGGCGAGAAATAGATCTATCTACTCGACTTCAAGCTCTCCGATAGCCTGCATCTTCGAGTCGAGATATTACTCTTGGTTTTCTGAAAGAAACTCCTCCAGAATACCTAGGTAGGTATGCTCTGAGTATAACACCACTCACAATTAGCAGCCCTGGAGTCCATGGCTGTCACTTGAAGTCAAATGCTTAGATGGTTAGAATTCTTACTTATTATCTTCTACCTAGGTACTAGTATATATGCCTGAGAGCCTTTAATTACAACTCAATTTTCGAGACTTATCTTCCAAGGTTCTCACATATTTCTTTCTCGGTTTATGCCTCGTAAAGGGTCAAAGATGTGGGGTAGTCACTGTCACCACTACCACATGCCTCATTATAGCCCACAGTCGACTCAAGCTTCTCCTTGACGAAATCATGGAAACTATCTCGCGAACAACTGCCACCTGGCCCATCTCGACAATCCACCAATGGCTGTGGACCGGCATTATTCAAGATTCGATAGTACTCTCCCTCGTCGTATCCATAGCTCTCGCACGACATCTTCTCGATGGCGATATTCGTCAGAAACGGGAGTATCTCACTACTCTTCCATACACGGTTGTAGTTAATCCTATCCTCCGGCATGGTTCCATTGACATGATTCGCACCGCTGTAAGCACTATTATTGTAAAGCCCCAGCGCAGTAAGGACCGTGGGTGGAACTTCACGGTGAGTGAACGAGACATATAGCTCCTGGGACAGGGACTCATCACGCAACGCCGCGACACTAGCATTCACCCACGGCAAGCCGAGACTCGAGGATAAATCCCGACCGTAACCGGTGTTGTGGAAATACATCAAGTCATTTGCGTATTCGTAGCCCAGCCACTCATCCGGTGAAAAGAGTTTCAGGGAGCAGAATGGGGACGATCCCCGAATAACGGTTTCGTAGCCGCAAAGCTCAAACATGCCGGTAATATCATTCTGCGTAAAGTTGAATGAAGGCGCCTCTGCGTTCAAGCGAGCGATTATAGGCTTTGTGTACACTTCCCCGAAGGCCTATGTGTCGGTTAGTACATGCTGCCCGCGGTTCTCATGGAGGGAAAGGGAAGAGCTATGGAATCTGATTAGTACATACCGAGGATTGATCAGAACCATATGAGGAACTATACGCCTCGCAACCTTTATACGGTGTCAAGGAGTCCGCGCCCGCCTTTTTGTCTTCTGCGACTTGGGTCAAGTTGATCGATTTCGTGTGGTTATTCGTAAACCCCGTAATGAAACCTTCTGCGCTCTTCACCGTTCTTTCCGCAGTCGATGACCAGATTCTCGTAGGTGCTTTGAGATGCGCGTATCTTTTGTGAAGAGTCGCTCCTAGCGACCGCGCTTCTTGGAATCCAAACTTCGTGAGTTTCTCCAAATGGTGCTCTTCAGCAGGCGCCGTCCAATTGGACAAAAATGCGAGTGTCTTGGTTGACTTCCAGTGGTGTAGCGATGTATTTTGCAGCTTTTTCACGAAAGGTTCGATGTAAGTTTCGTATTCGAAATCATTTGGGTAGATCGCCGCGTGGCGGACAAGATATGCGGCTCGAGTGACATTGCAACCCTGCGGGGGTGATGGCTGGAGTGGGGGGGTTATGAGGAGTGAAGTAAGGCGCAGTTCCTGCTGAGTGGTCTAGGGGGGTTGAAGTGATAAGAAGAGGATAGAATAGGAGTGGCAAGTACTGCCAAAAGTATAGATGGGAGGTACATCTTTGCTGCTGTCCGAGAGTGCTGCTACCTAGATAGTACGGAGGATTTTCCTTGGTAGGGCTGAATGTTTTATACTTAACACTATCTATTTAATTAGGATGATCGCCACTTTTCCAAGTATTTCAAAAAAGGCCCATGTCAAACCCAATTGCTATGTCATTTCCTTTGCCATGATGGTTGCGGAGTACATAAACAGGGAAACAGATAAAGGCATATTGACGTAACTCAAAGTGGAGTGCCAAGAGGATCAACACTATCCAGCCTGAGGCAGTCAATAACAGTCGTGCTCGCCCATCTCAAGAAGTTGCAGAACGTTAAAATTATTAGTACTACTAGTAAAAATCATAGAAATCTCTCAACCTGCTCGATCGTAAGTAATCCCAATCTTGTAGTCCCCCATGTGCCTCGGCTCTGCCCACCGTCTATTCAAATTGCACAAATCACATACATCCCCCTACATCCTGACAGTACTAGTTACCAAGGTATACGACAGGCTTCGCCGCTGCGATACGAGCATCTGGTGGATATTGAGCATTACTAGCGTTGGCAACTTGGAGAGGATCAAATATTAGCTAGGTAAGTCCCTTTTCTGCAGCTAAAGCTAACTACCCTCAGACCTACTAGTAGATCTTCATGCCTAATCTCACCCCCGCCAATCACCAGTCCACGTTTCCATACCAACGCGACCTCGAAGGCGTAACTCGACTCGTCAGACTTTACTTAGTCTACTACGAGGAGTGAGGCGGGTAAGCAAAGCATTTACATGAGGCCATTACGCCTTGACCATCCAGCACAAGCTTGCCCATCCGCGACGGCAAGAATAAAGGCGTTTCGGCGAGGTGGAGATCAAATCCTCGCATCAACCATGTCTCGACTCTGACAATGCAGGATCTTTGCATCTAAGCCGAGTTAGGTTGTACACGAACAAACTGTTTTCGGTAGATTGCTGTCGTTGTCTTTGCTGCTGGGTGTGGCTCTTTTTATCCTGGTAGATAAAATGCAATGCCATAGCTAGAGAGGTGGGAATGCGTAAAGCTGAGTCCATGTGGAAAGTGAACTTTGTACCAAACACATGTTACCAGTTGACATCGCTGAGCTGAAGTTTGCGAGAGCGGAAAGCATTTCGGGCTCCAGTAGACTTGTCGATACGCTGGTTTGCGGGAATACGTTTTTCAAAATCGGCTGGTTGGGCTTGTTAGGTCTGATTCTTACTTTTGCTTTTGCTCTTCTTTCTTTTGGGGGGGTTTGAAGCAATGGCGGATCAAACTTACTCTCTGCGGTCTCGTTCTCATTTGATGCCTCGTAATTCAAAACCAGGTTCTTGATGCGTTGCTGCTCCTCTCGATCGGCCTGCTGCTGGGTTCGCATGGCAACAGCAAAGCTGGAGTCGGACGGGAGGTCGATGGTGCGAGTCTGCTATTATTAGTATCATGAAACCACAGCTTCCTCAGATTGTCTTTGCAAGGATGTCTTACCTGTTGCTTATTGCCCTTCTTTGTCATCAAAGAGAATGCCATGGTCTTAGACGGAGCGACAGGCTCAGGCACCTCCATTTCACCAGGGAACTCGGCAGAGACATTCTCTCGGGCAGGTCGCTTCATTGGCAGCGGGATGTCGAAGATGGCCTTGCGTTCGAAACGTCTCGAGTCCGCACTCTCAACCATCATCTTCTCATATTCGCGATCGAATTCGGCTTCAACTTCTGGGTCGCGTTCTTCCTCCTGTCGCGTGACGATAATCTGCTCATCTTCCGATTCACTGTCATCGCCTGCCTCCGGGTTAGGTCCAGAGACCTCTTCAGCCTCATCGCTAGATTCCTGCTCGTCTTCGATATCCGGAATCGCATCTTCCTCAAGACCCTCGTCGGAAGAACTGCTGTCTGCAGCATCTTCCTCCTCGTCTGCCTCGACTGTCCGTTCAGAGTCTGGCATGTGGTAATTCTGCGCAACGGCCTCGCTGAAAATGCGGGTTGCTTCCTCGGGGTCTGATGTTAGCTTCCACTGGGGTCGTAGTGCAGAGTAAGTGTCTTGGACGAGGAAGTCAATGTCCATCGGCATAGGGTCTTTGGTGCAGATGTAGTACTGGAAGAAATTGAGGAAGAAGTCTAGCTTCTTCTTCGCCGAGCCTCGGTCGAAGCAGTGGCCACAGGTATCAAGGAGTGTGCAAGCAAGACGAAGTCGGAAATAATCGTCTGGGAGGTCCAGCATGACGATCCTTCCGGGGTTGGGGGTGCCACCTTCATGACCAAAGGTCACAATGCGGTACAATGTATCGAAAATGACGGGGGAGTCGATCATCTTGTAGTTGTACAATTCACCCAGGTATTTGACCTCGGCGATACGCTTCTGGTTGAACTTGAAGTCATTCTGCTCCAGGCCAAGCGTGATCTGCTCCAAGACGTTGTCAACCACACCGATGACGAAGTCTTGGTGGTATCGATACATAGCGCTGACAAGAATTGCCAAGAGGTGAATGCTGCCATATTTGACCTTGACGGGCTTGCTGAATACGCGTTCTAGAATATCAACAACCTCTTGCTCCTCCCAGTGTAGCTTTCGAATCGCCTTCAAGATCTTAGTGTAGTTGCGTTTGTTCATGTCCAGGTAGATTAGCCGACGAATGTACTGTTCCATTGGAGTCCGATCTTTCTGCTGGATTGCGGGGCGTGGAGGCGGGTCTACATAGTAGATTGCATTCTCAATCACCATGCGTTCCTGCTGACCGATATGCTGAACAGTCTTCTTTCGACCCAGTGTTTCGAGGAAGGAAGCCATGCGGGGCGAAGTCTCGGGATTGCGAAGGAGATAGCGGCCACAGTTTTCGAGCAGGTTGCCAATAATCTCGATGTTCATACGGGAGAATTCATCGAGAGAGACCTTGAAGCAGTGGAAGATGATGTGCTCGGGCACTACGCCAAACTTGGTCAACTCGGCGAGATATCGTACATTGCTCATGCGCACTTGTCCAAGGAACTCCTTAGACTTTCTGCGCTGAAGACTCCGAAATTCCTCATCAAGATAGGTCGTCAGACCCTGTGGGATATCCGGAAGATACTGTCCAAGGGTAGCCACCAAACGCGAGTAGATAGGCAGGAGATCAACCCGGCCCTTGGGGATATCCGAAACAGCTTTGACGAGCCTATTGCGAGATGCTTTGGAATTGACGAAGCAAAAGTCCAGGGCAAATTGATCGACCTGGTCCTTGTTCTGCAAATCCGGAAGTTTTCCAAGTAGAGCATCGACTTGCGCACCGACAGTTTTACTAGCAATGGCGGTGGATTGCTCGTCAGCTTCAGCAGCAGCCTTCTCCTCGGCTGTCTCGGTCTTTTCTGAAGGCGATTCGGCTGCATTATCACCATCTGCTTTCTTCTTACCGGCTTCGTCGCCATCGGCCTTCTTTTTCTTGCCGTCCTCCAGAAGAACAGCAGGAACCTTGCCTTTCAAGTCAACCAGATTTTCATAAAAACGTCTCTCCTCTTCATCTTCCCAGATGCCTGCACCATCACCTTGGCCACGAAGGTAGTCAGTGGTCTTCACCAAACCAATGCCTCCGCTAGCAGAAGCATCAGCAGTTTCCTTCTCGGCCAGATCTGGCATCTCAGCACCGAGAGCCTCACAGAGTACCTGAGTATTCGCAACAAGCTTATCGAGCGTCTTAGTCTGCTTCTCGAAATTAGACTGGCGGTCCTCGAAGATCTCGCCACTCTTCACATAAGCCTCAGCATTGCGGCGACTCTGATTCGACAAAGCCTTCTGATCCCGCACAACATGCGCCTTGACATCATCCAGATATCGAGTCAAAATATTCTTAAACCGCAGTTGCATCTTCTCCGGAGTCAACGGTGGATCCGCATCCAGGGCAGCACTCAACCCTCCGGCATTTTCGTTCTCAGCGCCCGCAGTCGCAGTCGCAGTCGCAGTCGTAGCAGTACTCGTCGTCACCCCATCAACCTCCACCGTCTTCCTCCCCTCATCAGCCAACTTCGCACCAAGAATATCCCAGCTAAAGCTCTTGACAAAGAGCACCGCAAGCGGCAAATTCGCATGCTCCCGATCATGACCCAGAAGATCCTTAAGCACTTCCAGCGGAAACGGCTCCGCCTTCTCAGGATCCCGCGTCGCGGCCGACGGAAACTTCTGCTTCAGCACGGGCTGTTCCGTAGATGAGATCTTCGCGGGATCCCCACCGCCGCCACCCCCGGCACCACCACCGGCACCACCACCACCACTACCCTTAAGACCAAGGTCATCAGGGCGTTCGACATCATCCAGCGTCCGCAGCACACCCACGAGCCACAACTCCGTAACAACACGCAAAAGCACCCGATGCCGCGCTAACCGGTCTTTCTCCTCGCGCTCGCGGAATTCCTGGCTCAGTTGCTTGATCTGGGCTTTGTCGGGCGAGGTTAGGCCCCGGCCGAGGAGCCAGCCGATGTAGCGGGTGAACTCAGCGGGGCCGAAGCGCTGGTGGAGGGCAGCGACGATTTCGACGCCGACGGCGATTTCCCCGGGTGTTTTGAGCTTGCTGAGGCCCTCGTAGCAGGCGGAGATTATCTCGGATAGATACTTGTGTAGCGAGAGGGTGCGGATATCTGAAAGGAAGGTTGATAGGGCGGATGCGCTGATTCCGGTTCGGAGACGCTTGATGAAGGCGGTGTTTTTCTTAAGCGCTGAGTCGAGGGATTTGCTGACAGGGAAGACATCTGTTGTGGAGGGGAGGATGGTCAGTTGGGTTAGATAGAGGGACTTGGCTTGGTTTTGGAAGGGGAGCAGAAGCGCGGGGGTGGGGGTGGGTGGGAGGGAGGACTTGTGTTTCGTACCGGTTTCGCCTGCCCATGCTCTCTCGTTCAGATCGCGGAGTTCTCCTGCGGCAAGATATGTGTTAGTAGGTACTGGGGAGGAGAGTGGTAGCTATGCAATGTAGCGCATACTTTTCTTTTGGCGATCCATGGCCATGTGTGCGTTCACGGATCGATTCAGTGTGATCCTCTCAGAACGTCTGGGGGGGAATCGCAGTGACTTGGACACCACATTGAGGAAATGAGGGGAAATATGGAGGAGAGAGAAGAAGAGTCACCTTCTGGAATGGGGGAAGTTCTGGAAGCGGGTTCGGGTTCGGATTGAGAGGCGGGCTGCTCCCAAGGCGGTGCGGAGGTCGGAGTGCGGACTTGCTCTGACTACACTCACAACTAGTCATGGGTTAGGTTACATGGTTACGCACTCTACTGTCGAGATTTGGCCCATTTCATACAGATAATAACATTTACTTACTATCACAATCCAATTTTCTTCCTCTCACACACAACCTTCAAGCTGCCTTTTGAAAAATCTCAATCGTACTAGTATCGCTAAACACATTGAGGCAGCAGATCCCGCCACATCATTCCAACTCGCTCATTCCAAGGTTTAGTTCTCCGTAAACCCCCTCTCCCGACTCTCCTCGACATTCAAAAGTCGTTCCTGCAATTGATGCTTGTAGTCCTGCGTACTCCAGCTCTGCCGGCGGTCGAATCGGGGCTGCCAGGTTGGTTCGGCATCGGCCTGGGCCTCGAGTCTATCATCGCTTTTTCGGTGGGAATCACTCGAGTCATGGGCTTGGCTTGGAGCCGGGTTTATTTCTGTCGTGGTTGTGTGGTCGCGAGATCGGTCTGGGAGCGAACCTTGGTGGCTGGTGGATTGCATGATATGACTTGCGAATGGCTTGGAGTGGAGTGCAGTGCAGTGTTGGGTAGGACAGGTCTGCGTATAGCTTGGATGAAGTAGGTACTAGTATTTTGTGATCTGGCCCAGGGCACTGATTCAATAATCAGAAGCAATTTTGCCTGTAGGTGTAGAAATAATCGTATTATCATAAAAGTAGGTCTGAGACGAGGTTCTAAGTTCTGCCTTATAAGTTATGTAGATGCGGGGATGAGTGGCGATAGATGACGATACCTGGCGAAGCTGGACAGATACCCAGTCTTGTCTTTCAGGGATTCGTGTGAGACTTGAATTGCATGACGCGAATATAAACCTTACCTAATCTGTCACTGCGATGTTTCTCTACTTACTAGTTACTACTAGCGGTGTACCTGGCAAGTAAGTGTACATGGTTCCTGGTTGAAGGCACCAAACGCCATGAACATGCCGAGTCTTATTCTAGTACAAAGGTTGGATGTACCAATACTGCGCAACATCATAAGGGCAGTGTTGCACCAAACCAATCGAATGATTTAGTCTACGATAGCACCTAGCGGATATGAAAAGAATAACGCTTTTAAATTCGACGAGCTAACGTACAAGTCATGACAGCATCCAACCCTCAAATGAGTCTTCGAGTCTACCAAGAAGGAAAGGAGAACGAAAAGGAAACGGGAAGAATGAGGCAGGTGAAAGCAGGAAGGAACTAAGATACACAAGCACGATCTATGATAAGATGAGCTGGGGTCGCAGGTATCAAAAAATACAAGCATAAGGATACCCAGGGACCTCATATGATCAGACATCATCTCAGCGGGTGGTAGGTCGATGACTCTAAGACAAGGTTACGAAAATTGCGAAGGGACCCAAGACAAAAAAAAAAACAGGAAAAAGGAACGGAGGGAAGGGAATCAACCGTGAGAAGCGTCATGCATGAGAACGCACACAATCGCGAGAAACAGCCAACATGGGAGAGATACACTGGCTCTGACGCTGCACACAGACGCACACATCGTACAACTCCATAAGAATCATGAAGGGCAACCAAAAATTCGACAGCGAGCAGTAATCGAAAAAATTGGAGGGAAAAAATAATGAAAACAGACCCAAGCATCAAAAGAGACAAAAAACAAAAAACAAAAAACAGATTAAAATCAGGGTATGCCTCACGCCACGCTATGCGATTCACCTCCTTGGATCTGGGGTAATCAATAACACTGCAAATATGTACTAAAAGACCAATCTAACCAGAAAGGCAATGGAAGATAAGATGGGTTCCATCTCTGTGTTTATTTCGGCTTGCGCCAGAAATATTGCTATGAAAACGTTAGTCAGAATGTCTTGTTTTGAGAAAACGTGGGGATTTCGACAAACCTTGTGCTGTTTGCGACAATTACGCAGGCCAGGCTTGCCCATCTTATGCGCCTCCAGGCGCGTGGGGTCATGGTCAAAGTCGGGCACATAGTAGTACTCCGCTTCGAGGGCTTTGCCAGCGGCATCCTTACCCTGGCGGGTGACTTGTCCAATAATATCGGTGTTTTCCAAAATGGAGCGGATCTCAAATTTTGAAGGGCCGCTAGGTGATCCAACAGACTTGCGGATATCAGGAGGGAAGTTGTTCAGGATCGTGGAGAAAGGCGTGGAGGCGAGACGGGAGAAGGCGAGCTGGTTGGCAGCATGGTTGCGGATTCTAGTGATGCTCTCGTCATCCATTGATGGCTTGGTGTATTCGGCGGACTTTTCACGCCTGTGTTGGTGGAAAGACTGGTTGGGGGGTAGAGCGGGCTGGAGAGGTTGGGCCGACAGGAAGCTGTTTGGGGGACGGGCAGAGCGAACAGGCGATTCACCGGTAGTGAAAGAGGCCATGCGTGGTAGGAGGTTCTCGCCGAAAGGTCCAAAGGAGTGGATGATGGGGTCATTCTCCTCATCGTTCTCTCCTTCAGAATCCTCCTCGTGGCGACCCAGGTCGCTCCCCTGGAACCTTTGCAGGAGTACACTGGCACGACGAGCACTGGGGGAAGTAATGCCAATAACAGTATTGTGGCGCTTCAATGGCGATCCTTGGTCTTCGTATACAACAACGGGGGCTCTGGTGCGCGAGGGAGAGAACAACGGCGAGGACGGTGGGATAGCCCGTTGCACTGCAGGCGAGGGAGACACCGGTGAAGCCAAACGCTGGTTCTCGGGGAAAGGGCTATCTTGGAGAGCACGAAGAGGTCTTCTTTGGGTTGGGGTGCCTTCATCACAGGTCTGTTCAGAGTCGGTGGATGGGCAGTCCTTCCGATCATGCTCATTATCATTCCGGGGCCATTGAACCAACACGCGAGACTCATGAACATCAATCATGATATCAGCATCCTTGATGTCCGAAGTAAAGGTTTTTCCTTTGGCCAAATCGTACTTTTTTCCCTGACAATGGATCTTGATCCCGTTCCATCCCATGCACATAATCTCCACTCTATCCCGATCGAAGGGGTTCGGTGCCGGTTTGTAAGTGGCCTTGACATGAACACGAGATATCATGCGACTGTTGGCTAGCTGATGTTGGCACGAAGCACTTGACCGACCCATGAGGAGCGGTTCTCCATTTTCCGGTAGCATCAGTTCCGGCACAGTCGACAAGGGAGCTCGTTCGGAGGAGGCTGAAAAGATACGACGGGCAGTTTGGCGAGCGGCAGGAGGCGAGGATGACATGATATGGGTGGACGAGGTTGGGACGGGAGTTGGATACATCGACACAGCAGGTTCGCGTGCAACACGCTTCTGAGGACGAGGCAGAGAGGGGGATGAGCTCAAGGGCTCGAAGGCCGGCAGCAAAGACGCAGGACGCTTTGTGCCGGCAATAGGAGCCAGGCTGCTCCTACTAGGTGAAGACTCCATCATGAATGGAATAGGAAGAACCTAGAATTCTGAAGTTAATCCAACACACGAGCTCCTTTTTTGGACGAGAGGCGAGTCGAGCTCAAGACTCGCGTCACCCGCGTAAATATTGGAGACAGAGAGAAGGGAAGAGTAAATAAGAGGTAAAGAGACAAGTCGAGGAGTATTCCAGCACTAAGACCTCAAGGACCTCAAAAAAAGAGGGGTGGGGGAAGGGTGTGGCAGGTTAGGAAGGGGAAGAAGAAAAGGTGTGTGGTGGAATGTCCTGGGGCGGAGGGTCTCGTTCTGCGCGGAAATGCACGCTTACAGCCCGACGCGTTCGATAGGCGCCGGCGAGGGTTCACGGGCTCCACTACTTTTAGGGTACACCTGTGCTCCAATTGATGGGGAAATCACTTTAAAAGAAGAGAGAGAAGAAACAGTGGTAATACTAGTACAGAGATATATTCAAGTAAAAATAAAATCTTAGCCATAATCTACTTCCCTATGTATGTCCTGCATTGATCTATACCGAGTCCCGGCGCGACCGCGTCTGAACTCACGTGACGCAATACCATAGTGGAGCTGGGCACGCGAGTAAAGTATGGAGCAACCAGTGAGTGACCAGTAACTATCTCTAGTCTGGTATGTAAAGGTGACAGCCTGTGGTATGTTTGAGTCGTCCTGGCATCGGGCGATCTCGAAATGAGGACAGTTCTGCTAGCACATTTCATTACGAAATGTGTTGTGACAAGTGAATACTAATGGCCCCCGCAAGAGATACTAGTTGTATGTACAGACCTCCGAGATCAAAAGCCGAGGTACGTCAACAAAGACTAAAGGGCAAATGAAATAAAATGGGTTGAACAGAGAATTCATGTATATCCTGCTGATAAACATTCTACCGTAATTCCCAATCTCAGAATAAAGCAATTGTCTCCTAGCATAGTGGATATCAACGTGAACTGACGCGCTAGCAAATTTTACTCCGCGGGGGTCCAGAAGGCGCGTGGTTTGCCTTACCTTACGCCACGTCAATTGCCCACCCAAGAACACAGTCAATTGCAATAATTAGGAAATGGTACCTACTGGATCATAGTTGTGACTAATTCATAAACACTTACTCACTCATTACAACTATAAGAATTAAATGGTTGTCCAACTTCATGCAACATTCACCCCGTCGGGGCAGAAACTTTCGATTTCAAGACACACCGTAAGAACCGTCAAGATACAAAGCAACATAGCGGGGCGGGAAAAGAAAAAAAGCACAACCAACCCCTCTCGGTGAAGTCCTTCGGGCTAAAGGTGCATACGCAGACTCAGTTACGCCAGAAAAAAAAAACCACTTACCGCAAAGTAGGTGGCCGCATGCTGTAGCTATCCAATGTATGGAGTATGGAGCACGGAGTACACACTGGCATACATCCCAGCCATGACAACTACTTCCCTAGCATGTGCATCCCAGGGCCAAGCCAAGAATATCGGAAGAAGAAAAATGGAAGCAAAAAGGTAAATGAAGTCTCCAGGGCTACGAACGACAATCGAGGAGCAGGAATTGGAAGACGCCACGCTTGCCGGGGAGACTATCGGAATGCAGGCACACTCAAGATTAATTGTCAAGCTTCCATAGTCCATCCAGCAGGGTTCAATAGTAAGTCGATTACAGAGTACATCTCAGTGCAGTTCAAGAATAGAGCTTCAAGCTTGTCTTCGCCTCAGTGTACATGTTACGCGGCACATAGGCAACAAGTTACCTGAAGCAAGGGCAGATGAGTTAACGGAGTACGAAGTGGAATCAGCCATGATGCAATGGCCATCAAGCGGAGCGTGGCCCGTCAGATCGATGGATCACATTCTTGATCTGGGGAACCTTGCCAGGGTTACTCAGGAGATCGGCGATCCTTGCCATTTAGCGTATCTTGTAATGCAGACTTCCCAGATAGAACCAGTGCAATTCATGGAATTGCAGATGATCTGGGTCTCTAGTCAAAATGCTGGCAAGGGGTGAGTGTCTGGTCTAGAACGTTGGCGATCGGACACATTCGAGCAGGCTGATCTTTTTGAATTGGAGAAAGGGTAAGAGGTTTCGAGGTTGACCATTGGGTCGTTAATCATGGATTACTGACAAAATGACATGGAAG